AAACTATTCAGTTGCCTGGAAGGAAACCAACACCATTGATTTATACTGCAGAACGGAATTGTGACTGCACAGAGTGCCCATGACGGGTTCCCCTTGAGACGCCGAAAATTGGTATTTTATTGATATCTACCAAAGAAAATGCATCGCGTGTGGTTTTTATTTTTATTTATTTTAATGAATGTTTAGAAAACTTGACAATAAAAGACCGCCCTCTCCACGCGAGACTTATAGACCCACCTCTAGATAGTCCAGTACTCAGTGACTTTCCCATTCATTCAATGACACTGATTTTTCAACTGGCAGCACAGAGGGAGTTTTAACTTTTTAGAAGTGCGTATCTGCTATTTTATGTACTGTACACATGTCCGTGTGGGGAACGATGGGGTAGCAGTTAGCGCGCTGCAGTATGACCACGGTGACCCTAGTTCGATTCCAGTTCACGATCAATAACAGTGGCGATTATTTGAACCAATCTTGGGCTTCCCCTAAGTCGACTCAGCCTCAAATGAGTACCTGGTGCGGTGTGTAGTAAACATCGCCACGAGAGAGACAAAGGCGGCCGGGCGTGGTGATGGCCTCACACCCCCTCGTGTGTCGTGCTGGCCTTCAAAGCTGCTGCCTAACAGCGCTTGCCCCAATATTTTGTTGAGGCTATACGGTGGATCATTGTTATTGTGTGTGTGGACCCCTATTATGGAACATCTGCGAAGGTTCGAAACATTGAGGCTGACCTTCCTACGATCCATCCTGGGTTTAACCAGGATGGATTGTGTGAGGAGCTCACGCATCGTTTAAAGATCTGGACACAGTCCCATCAGTGAGCATTCCGGCAGGCAAGGCTGCGTTGGCTGGGTCATGTAGCCCGCATGCCAAGCCACTGCATGGTCAACCATCCTTTATTCGCGGAGACCCTGAACTTCGCCTGCATGACCACAACAAATGGCAAATTATGCATTTACAGGATGACGTATTTACATTCCCTGGCCTTGGCCACTCGCCAACTTTAAACGGAACCAGGTTTTCTAAGCCTCTTGCTAATTGCCCTCGGTTATTTCGCTTTTGTTTGTTGTTGTTGAAGTGTGTGCGTGTTAACTCAGCGGGGAGCGATGGTGCAGCGGTTAGCGCGCCGCGCTATGAACCCCGACCCCCCCCCCCGAGTTCGATTCCCGCTCACGGTCAACACCGGTGACGATTATCTGAGCCGGTCCTGGGCCTCCCCCTAGGTCGACTCAGCCTCAAATGAGTACCTGGTGCGGTGTGTAAAAAGATGACCACTGGGGAGACAAAGGCGGCCTGGCGTGGTGCTTGCCACCCACCCCCTCGTGTGCCGTTTTGGTCTTCATAGATGCTACTCGCTAACAGCACTTGCCCCAACAGTCTGTAAAGGCTATCGGGAGAATCTTTGTCTTTGTGTTTTGCCTATGACGATGTATGCGAGGGAGCGGTGGCGCAGTGGTTAGTGCGCTACGAACAAGGCGACCCACGTTCGATTCCTGCTAACAGCAGCAGCAGCAGCAGACCAAGCTTTCCCACCTGACGATGGACGCTTGTGTTGCGCCCGAAACGTCGCGATTTATTTTATTTTATACTCTACGTGACTTTACCGAAAGAACCAAAGAGTATGGATTCCTGCAGTCACGAAAGCTTCAAATCAAAATAGAATGTGTGTCGGGTGTCACGGGACGCAAGGGCTGCGGAGCGCGTGACCCGCGATGGAGGGCCGCTTCGGTATCACGACAGGGCGGAGGAGGGACGGGAAGGAGTGGAGGGGGTCGAGGGAAGAGAATCGGCAACGACGCGTTCACGGCTGCCGTGGTAAACATCCTGCACGTGTTTCCCTTTTTTTTTTTAACCCAGTTGCTGCGCAGAAGTCCAAACACCCCTAAAACAACACGCGGACAGCAACAAGCGGCAAACTCAAAAAGTTGTAATCGGTAAGAGTGTGAACGCTCAATCCTATGATGCAATTGCTCAAATGTGCACTTATCTACGTAAGTCTTTAATGTGCTGTAAGAATTGAAGGGCTATAGTTAGGCGGTGATTATGGGGAGTGGCTTCTGAGATAAAAGCTGAAGGTGATGCTATCCGCATATCTGATTAGCACGGCTGGCTACGTACAGTGCGAAAGAAGTTCAACATACATGTGCATGAAGGATTAGGAGCTGGTGAACGTGACTGGAGACACGATGTCAACACGATGCCGGTGCGATACGAATCTGTATGGCAGCAGCTCAAGTCTCCGAAACCAGACACAATCTCCCAGCAAGCAGCCAGGCGTGCCACAGACATCTCACTCAACCACTGTGTCTGTCACGACACCTGTGTGTGCATGGCGCTCGTGGTTAATTTAGTCACGTTTGTGGGTCCGCTGTGAAACGTTAGCGGAGGAGGCACTTCAGGTGCGTGTCTTTAGAATTGTTGGAGAGAAAAAAAATGTAGCACTTTGAATGCACAAGCGGTACATGTTGAAGCCTCTCGGCGAAGGCGGCGTTTATTGACGATTGCAAACGCTGTACAGAATCTGCAATTGGCTCTGTCAGCCAAACGGAGCGGCCTCAATAAACGACGGATAGTAACCTGCACCCAAGAGAGCCGACCACAATTGAGTAAATTCCCTCTTTCAGGAAATACTTTAACAGATACAGTATATGTCATACCTGTCAACCCCTTTTCAGTGCCGACCGTATTATAGACCAATTCAAACCTCATTGGTCACCCCGTGCTCTTATAAATCTCAACGTTTATTCTACAGAGTCCCATCACAAGGGAGAAAAATACATTTTTTTTGTCCATATTGCAACGGCTGTACGCAGTAAGGACCTGAAAACTCAATTTCTTTGTAAAAGAATGCGGGTAACCCGTATAGGTTGACGGGCATGTATATATATATTTTGTCTCCCAGTAAACTTACGTTTACAATGCCTCTTCGCTCTGGGCGGGGGTGGGGGGTTACTACGAATCGAAGCCAGCTGTGGTCGCTGTTCAATTGTTGAGGCTAATGCCCCCCCCTACCGGCGCTACACGAGGCCGGCACTGGGTCAGTACTGCTGGGGCTGGCGTTGACAAAGGCGACATGGGGATAGAGTTTCGCCGGTTTATGACGTTCAGTCTATTTGGATGAGAACCCACAAGCAGTGTTGTTCAACAGCTGGTGGAAATCACGTTCAGATGTTCACAATAGCAGTGGTCGATGAAGGAAACAGCTCCGTTGCTTCCTGCAAAATACACAGCCTTTCCACTGCAACGTGACGGTCTCTCAAAGCCGTGGATTTTGACGCGGCGTTGTAAAACAGCTGCAGTCGGGACGGCAAGGCACTTGGGGACCCAGAACGGCCCAATGGCACACGAAATGAGGGTGACTCGGAGAGAGAGGATGACGTGGAGAAGATGATTCGGAGAGACGGGGCGACTCTAAGAGGACGACTCGGAGAGAGAGGATGACGTGGAGAGGATGATTCGGAGAGACAGGGTGACTGAGAGGACGACTCGGAGAGGATGACGTGGAGAGGATGATTCGGAGAGACAGGGCGACTGAGAGGACGACTCGGAGAGGATGACGTGGAGAGGATGATTCGGAGAGACAGGGCGACTGAGAGGACGACTCGGAGAGAGAGGATGATGTGGAGAGGATGATTCGGAGAGACAGGGCGACTGAGAGGACGACTCGGAGAGAGAGGATGACGTAGAGAGGATGATTCGGAGACGGGGCGACTGAGAGGATGGCTCGGAGAGGATGACGTGGAGAGGATGATTCGGAGAGACAGGGCGACTGAGAGGACGACTCGGAGAGGATGACATGGAGAGGATGATTCGGAGAGACAGGGCGACTGAGAGGACGACTCGGAGAGAGAGGATGATGTGGAGAGGATGATTCGGAGAGACAGGGCGACTGAGAGGACGACTCGGAGAGAGAGGATGACGTGGAGAGGATGATTCGGAGAGACAGGGCGACTGAGAGGACAACTCGGAGAGGATGACGTGGAAAGGATGATTCGGAGAGACAGGGCGACTGAGAGGATGGCTCGGAGAGGATGACGTGGAGAGGATGATTCGGAGAGACAGGGCGACTGAGAGGACGACTCGGAGAGGATGACGTGGAGAGGATGATTCGGAGAGACAGGGCGACTGAGAGGACGACTCGGAGAGAGAGGATGATGTGGAGAGGATGATTCGGAGAGACAGGGCGACTGAGAGGACGACTCGGAGAGAGAGGATGACGTGGAGAGGATGATTCGGAGAGACAGGGCGACTGAGAGGACAACTCGGAGAGGATGACGTGGAGAGGATGATTCGGAGAGACAGGGCGACTGAGAGGATGGCTCGGAGAGGATGACGTGGAGAGGATGATTCGGAGAGACAGGGCGACTGAGAGGACGACTCGGAGAGGATGACGTGGAGAGGATGATTCGGAGAGACAGGGCGACTGAGAGGACGACTCGGAGAGAGAGGATGATGTGGAGAGGATGATTCGGAGAGACAGGGCGACTGAGAGGACGACTCGGAGAGAGAGGATGATGTGGAGAGGATGATTCGGAGAGACGGGGCGACTGAGAGGACGACTCGGAGAGAGAGGATGACGTGGAGAGGATGATTCGGAGAGACAGGGCGACTGAGAGGACAACTCGGAGAGGATGACGTGGAGAGGATGATTCGGAGAGACGGGGCGACTGAGAGGATGGCTCGGAGAGGATGACGTGGAGAGGATGATTCGGAGAGACAGGGCGACTGAGCGGATGGCTCGGAGGCGCCAGAAGGAGGAATCAACAGCCGGAGTGGGAGAGCAGCAGCAGCAGCTACGCCGTGAGGAGCTCCGCACCAACACGTGCCGAGCTCTGCTTGTTGTTATCATATCATCACGTTAGCACACGATGGTGGCAATAACACTTCTATTTACCAAACAAAAAAAACACGATATGTTCATGAAATAATACTTACAAAGATTTAGGTGAAGTCGAAAATAGTTTTTTTGTGGAGGAACAAATTTCAAACGACACGGTGCATTTCAATACTTAGACTATGTTTTTATTATAATTGTTATTATGTACATTCCCAAAAGATGTGTCAATATATTGCAGCCATTGGGACAAAACTAATTTATACATCTCGGTGAAATTAAATTACAATGAAAACTTTGGCTTCATCAAAACACCTACGCATCAGAAGCCACCGACCACCGGATCGGGCAGCAGATCTCACGGACGCGCAAGCGCACCGAAAATCTTCAGGTTGTTGACACACGGGGGTTCGGCCTTCATACATTGATCCGTAAACAATACCGGCTTCCCCCCCCCCTCGCTCTGTGCGGCAGTAGTAGTCGTATTAGTAGTAGATGCATTACGAGAAACGGGGTACACAAAGCGAAACCGCACGAGGAGACAGCTGCCTGCCGAGTAGCGCGCACAGTACCCACAGTACACACGCATAATTCTGTCCCACGCCCGACCGCATAACAGCATTAGTGAATTCAAACCGCATACCGCGAATTCTGGGTAGAAAGAGGTTAGCCGCATTTCATATACAGTGGGGAATTTGCAAAAGTGCTGATATTTGTTGCTTTGGAAGCTAATAATAAGTCGTCCCTGAGTGATGCGAGTGGTGGTGGTTTAACGTTCCGATTTAGAAGCATAGTGGGTGGAAGGAGTCAGTTGACTATTGATAAATACAGTTCGGTTTTCCGATGGGTCTAAGTTTATTTAGAAAAACCACGAATCAACCGTTCACATCACTGTTCCCATGGAGGCCTCTTGTCTGCCAACCACAAGAGGTGGTTGAGACAGATGTGCACGCTATACAGAATAGCCACAATCCCCAGCCTCAAACTGCAACATGAAGGGGGTTGGTCGGTTGACTGATCTGGCATTGCAATGCTCAGACCAATAGACGCTCACCCACACTGCCATCTCCGTCTGCCAACCCGATGCTTCTCCCGTCACCCAAACTATCTCTGTGACATTCACAGAGCACATTGCGGCAAACGTTGCTATACATTCATTTTCACATTTTCTTAAATACACGTATGTGTATTACAAATGCTGTGCTCTGTTTCTGTTCGAGAGATGATATCAGTGATAAACTCTATTATTTTTATGAGACCTTGAATAAAGGTGTCAGTTTTTGTGCCAGTTAAAAGGGTAAAACCTATTCCTATCTCTATTATTATTTTTAATTGCATGTGGTTTTTTTTAATACAAATTCACAGAAGCACCACATTTAAACCTTACCAGTTGCGGCGAGTCTCAAAGTCAGTGCTCGGACCGCTTAGTGCAAGGATGACAAACGCCCCCAACCCCAATCCCAGATGGGGCCTCTGAGGGGGTCCTGGTGATGCGGTTTGTGAGCTCAAAATGATGCGACTGAATGCTACGTTGCTTAAACACATCTTGACATTAAAGTCGATTGTCTCACATTTTATCTTAGTCTGAATAATACTTAAACATTTTTTTTTGCCAACTAACAGGTATTAAGATTGGCTGGAAACAAAGCTGGGAGTTTTAGAGTGTACCCAATGCCCTCTTGTTTAAATGAGTGCCCAAGTGGCGAGCTGTTGTGGGCACGAGCCGAGGACAAACGCACGCAAGGGGAGGGCGTTCGACTGCATCGTTCGGGTCGACTCACGTGTCAGTCATTCTGCTACGTTGCTGATCAATGTACAAGGTCACGCTGTCAGCTTCAGGCTGGTGATGTCTTCAACCCACACACTGATGGCCTGCAACATAGTGCATGTTTTGTCCTGTTTACATGCAACCCTTAACATCGTTGCATTACTTATCATTCGTCATTGGCCTGTACAGGCATTGGTAAGAATAACATGAACTTCTACTGGCTAAAAGTACCTTCTTCAGCCCATCATCCCACACCTTGGTTTATGATGAAAGTCAAAGGGTAACGCGTGTCACCGGGGTAAGCAAACACACATTTGGCAAAAAAGATAACGAGCTCCGACCGCTCCTGCCCGAGGAACACATCTCATATACAGTATATTCTGATTCGCCCCGACGCGGGCACGAGATGAGCTCCCTCCCTTAAGGCGCGGCCCTGCGCCTTCACAGTCGAGTCACCGCCGTCGCCTCTGACGTTACGTCGTGAGACAGAAGTTTACGACTGCAAAGCCGGAGTGTGTGCCCCTGCGAGAGCGGAATGGTGGCTCGTGCTCCTCAAGTCCCCCCCCCTCCCCCGGCGTGAGCGCCCGTGGTGCTTCCGGGCGCTACCGGTCGCGGATGTCAAAGAGGCTCTCGGCATCGCTGTCCGAGTCGTTGGCGAGGCCGTTCCGGAGCAGCAGCTCCACGGCCTCCTCGCGCTCGCGCACAGCCGGCTCCACCTCTGCCGGACGACATCGAGCAGCCACGCACAACGAGCAACAACTGAACAACAAGCCCACGGGTTCATCAAGTACGCAACTCACCAAGCCTGCAACTCACCAAGTCTACGAGCCAAAGTGACTTTCTGCACAAACACGCGTGGGGGATAGCGGTCGTATCCTTTCCAGGCGTTGAGATGCCAAGTTGCCGTGGTGAACCAGAGTCTATCCATAGCTCAATCACAGTTGGGATCCGATTTAGCAAGTAGCACCTATAAAGGTCAGCAAGGTGCACAAAGGCGCCGGGCCGCCTTTGTCTTCCCAGATGCTGACGTTTGCACACCGCAGCAGGTACTGATTTAAGGCTGCGTCGACAGAGGCATTTTTGCAGAGGCCGGATTGTGCATGAAAGCCACGGACGCCGGCCGAGGAGTGAATGCCGTACCAGGTGCCCGCAGCGCCTTGAGTGCCACGTGCAGCGAGATGCCCGCCAGGCACACGCCGAAGCCCACCCAGTTGAGCGGAGACATTACGTCTCCGTTGATGTGCGTGGCCAGCACCAGCGTACACACCTCCTGCAACACCAAATGGGACGCAGACATTACTCTCCAGGGGAACGCAGGTACCCGCGCGCCCGCAAACATGCAGGCGCGCACGTACCACAAACAGTCATCGAGGAAGAGCAATGCCCACGCCGATAACAGAGCCGTCTCAGAGTGCCTGCTCAGAGCAAGATTAACATTCTACGGGATGAACGTCTTCTTGACATAACATGATCCGGAGGATCAGCTTACAGGGATTCACCAAATCGCACCCCAGTTAAACCTTACGCCAATACCTGCCTCAAGAATCACCCTGCGCTTGTTACAAACATCGTTCGTTCGTTTCTCAATCCGCTTGTGCTGCTGTGGGTCGCGGCGGCAGCATGTGGAGTAGGGCGGTCCAGATCTCCCTTTCCCTGGCCACAGACTCTAGCTCTTCATGGGGAATTCCCAGGCGTTTCCAGGCCAGTCGAGAGACGTAGTCCCACCCAGCGTGTCCTGGGCCGGCCCCGGGGTCTTCGCCCAATGGGACGTGCTGCCCGGTAGAGGTCCAGGGGAAGTCTATTGGGGGGCATCCTTCCAAGGTGCCCGAACCACCTCAACTGACTCCTCTCGATCCGGAGGAACAGCGGCTCGACTCTGAGGCTCTCCCGGATTACCGAGCTCCACATCTGATCACGGAGAGTGTGCCAGGCAACCCTCCGGGGAAACCTCATATCGGCCCCTTGTGCCCACGATCTCATCCTTTCGGTCATTACCCAAAGCTCATGACCATAGGTGAGGGTGGGAATGTAGATCAACCTGCTACAAATATACACATGTTAAATATGCTATCTTGACCCGTTGCTTTTGCCCCGATTGCTATTTGCTCCATAGCTGGTCTTAGTTTTCACGTCAGTGCTGCTGTCGTTTCGGTAAACCATGTCACTTTTGCATACGAGACAATTGTGGTGAAACAAAAAAAATGGACAATTCATTATTCCTGATCCAGGGGCTGCATCGAGCGGAGCCACGGCTTACCCACTAAACGACACAGCGTTGCACGCCGTGGGAGCTACACCACGGCCAGCGCAGCCCTAGCTGAGACGGCACACTGCGCCGGTTTACTCGTGACAAAGACAAAGATCCCCCGTATAGCCTTACTAGACTGTTGGGGCAAGTGCTGTTAAGCGAGCACCTATGAAGGTCGGAACGGCACACGAGGGAGTGGGTGGCCAGCACCACGCACGGCCACCTTTGTCTCCCCAGTGGCGATGTTTACACACCGCACTAGGTACTCATTTGAGGCTGAGTCGACTTCGGGGAGGCCCAGGACCGGTTCAGATAATCGTCACTGGTGTTGACCGTGAGCGGGAATCGAACTCGGGTCACCGAGTTCGTAGCGCAGCGTAGCGCTCATCGCTACACCACCGCTCCCCATCCCTGGTGGCGAGGTGCCGCCATTGTCTGTCGCGCTGCTCGCGCAGGAAACGAATGTCGTCGTTCCGTTTCCCCAACGTGGACACATCTCCTCCCCTTTGGCGACTATTCCGTCACCAGCCCTGTCCAGCGGCATATCCGTGTATCAGGCTTAGTGGTGACGCGGCCCCGCCCAAGGCCCATTTACTTTTGTTTATCGTCAGCGGAAGCGGGGAAGTGACAATTGGAATTAACAGAGGCAGCAGAAGGAACAAGTGTATTAGAGCATAAACGCGAATCAGAAACGTCACATTGACAATGAAAACAGCGGTACGTGCTCTCCAAGCAATCGACCATTGGAGAAGAACAAGACAAAAAAAACATCTACATTTTTATATATATATGTCAAAGCATAGCAAAAAGCAACTGGCCTTGAAAATGCCGGAAATGGAGAGAGTGAGGCCGGACGTTTGGGAGACGAGCAGAAACTCAGAGAAGCTGAGGCCAAACGCGAGCACGCCTCCGAGCGCCAGCGTCCCCACGGACCACAGCAGCACCTCGCTGTCGTGGAAGCCAAACAGCTTCTCCGTGCACGCCAAGCTCACACCTGCAGGCGTGGGGGGAGGGGAGCAAGCAACACGAGAGGTCACCGTCACACCAGCAGCACCAACGCTTGAAGGCAGCACTTTTATTTTTATAATTAAAACTCACGCTTGCTGACCCAGAAATCCTCGACGAGTCTCAAAGCTCTTTTTCAGGAGGGTCCTGCCAAGGTTTTTTCAGTCGGAGGCGATGTTCCTGCGTGCAATCCCAATTTAGTAATTTGCAAGTAATTTTTCCCCATTGGATTTGGATGTTTCGGGCCAATACCAGGAAACCGAAGAGCCAGGAGAAAACCCATGCAGAACAGGGGGATAACATAAAAACTCCACTCACTCACTCTGCAGAACAGGAGGAGAACATAAAACTCCACTCACTCACTCTGCAGAACAGAGGGAGAACATAAAAACTCCACTCACTCACCCTGCAGAACAGGTGTAGAACACACAAACTCCACTCACTCACTCTGTAGAACAGGAGGAGAACATACAATCTCCACTCACTCACTCTGTAGAACAGGGGGAGAACATACAATCTCCACTCACTTACTCTGTAGAACAGGGGGAGAACATAAACACTCCACTCACTCACTCTGTAGAACAGGGGGAGAACATAAAAACTCCACTCACTCACTCTGTAGAACAGGTGTAGAACACACAAACTCCACTCACACTGTAGAACAGGGGGGGGGGACATACAAACTCCACTCACTCTCTCTGTAGAACAGGGAGAGATCACACAAACTCCACTCACTCACTCTGTAGAACAGGGGGGGGGAACATACAAACTCCACTCACTCACTCTGTAGAACAGGGAGAGATCACACAAACTCCACTCACTCACTCTGTAGAACAGGGGGGGGACATACAAGCTCCACTCACTCTCTCTGTAGAACAGGGGGAGATCACACAAACTCCACTCACTCACTCTGTAGAACAGGTGTAGAACACACAAACTCCCCTCACTCTCTCTGTAGAACAGGGGGGGGGACATACAAACTCCACTCACTCTCTCTGTAGAACAGGGAGAGATCACACAAACTCCACTCACTCTGTAGAACAGGTGTAGAACACACAAACTCCACTCACTCTGTAGAACAGGGGGGGGGGGCATACAAACTTCACTCACTCACTCTGTAGAACAGGTGTAGAACACAAACTCCACTCACTCTGTAGAACAGGGAGAGATCACACAAACTCCACTCACTCTCTCTGTAGAACAGGGGGGGGGGACATACAAACTCCACTCACTCACTCTGTAGAACAGGGAGAGATCACACAAACTCCACTCACTCTGTAGAACAGGGAGAGATCACACAAACTCCACTCACTCTCTCTGTAGAACAGGGGGGGGGGGACATACAAACTCCACTCACTCGCTCTGTAGAACAGGGAGAGATCACACAAACTCCACTCACTCTGTAGAACAGGGAGAGATCACACAAACTCCACTCACTCTTTCTGTAGAACAGGGGGGGGGACATACAAACTCCACTCACTCACTCTGTAGAACAGGGGGAGATCACACAAACTCCACTCACTCACTCTGTAGAACAGGGAGAGATCACACAAACTCCACTCACTCTCTCTGTAGAACAGGGGGAGAACATACAAACTCCACTCACTCACTCTGTAGAACAGGGGGAGAACATACAAACTCCACTCATTCACTCTGTAGAACAGGGTGGGAACATACAAACTCCACTCACTCACTCTGTAGAACAGGTGTAGAACATACAAACTCCACTCACTCACTCTGTAGAACAGGTGTAGAACATACAAACTCCACTCACTCACTCTGTAGAACAGGTGTAGAACATACAAACTCCACTCACTCACTCTGTAGAACAGGGGTAGAACACACAAACTCCACTCATTCACTCTGTAGAACAGGGGGGGAACATACAAACTCCACTCACTCACTCTGTAGAACAGGTGTAGAACACACAAACTCCACTCACTCTCTCTGTAGAACAGGAGGGGGGGAACATACAAACTCCACTCACTCTCTCTGTAGAACAGGGGGGGGGGGACATACAAACTCCACACAGAGAGGAGCCTGAGTCAGGAATCAAACCCAGGCCGTTCTTGCTGTGAGACACAGGTGTTACCACTGCGGCACCCTGACAGTCAAACGAAAAAGAGTGGACAAATATCTCCGCCCTAATGATATCAACAATAACAAATAACTTTTCCTGGGCAACTATCCGAGTAACTCACTTGTACAATACACACTGAACCTACCGTGACGGTATCGCAAAGGGAGTGCACGTCACAATCGCTGCAACAAAAACAACGAGGACATGTCATGGGCTTCACCTTCGTTGTAGAGGAACAGTGGGAAGAGAGCGGCGAGCATGAGGGGCTGCAGGTGATACAGAGCATCCACAGGATTGTGCAACCCTGCAAGCCAGAGACAGGAAGTCAACCACTGCCACCGCTGTCACGAGCAAACAACAGTCACACCGAGCTTATTCAAATTCACTCCAACACCTCGACACGCCACACACACTTGCACCTTGATTGGTGGCTGCCAATACATCTGCAGAGTAGAATATGGGGGAAAAGCCCTTTTATAAACAACCCACTGATTTCTAACTTTATTCTCAGCAGGCGATTGAATATTGTCACAGCGATGGATCCATACCCCTCTTTCAGAGGAGTGTTAAAAGATGTAATAAAACATTGAATAAGCGCATTGAGAATGGTTGGTGCATGGACTTTGAACGTAAATGTTGCATTCTCTTCAATTTCTCCCTCTTAATTTAGTGGGGGTATCTACAAGTGGATCACGTGTGTAAAAAAACTGGAATCACATTGGGAATGCTACTTGGAGCAAGGGTGGTGCTGAAACAACCCAACAGTATTCCGCCAGGTGCCACCTCTTGTGTGTAATGCCTCAGTCGCAAGTTAACAGAGTCGACTGTTGAGAAACTGGATGAATGATGTGGAGATGGGGGACCCATTCCATACGCCTTGAGCAAAATAAAATCACGCGTTTCTGCAAAGTGCATGGGGACTTTCACACTGCACCTCGACATTGCTAAAGAAATCGCATGGGACGATGTTCAAGTGCGTAACTCTGGATCTCCTTTTAAGGAATCGTGTCCTGCAATCAGCGGAAGGCGACGCCTGTACCAAAAACGCAATGGCGACTTACATCATTGCATCTGACAAAAAAATACATTTACGCAGAACCTTTTGTCAATCCACTGTCGGATAAGAATCTTCCCCCCTCCCCCCCCACACCATGTCAGTCTTGGGGGTGGTTTGACCATACTTCACTACGCCGGGCAATGCGGGTTGGCAAAGTGGTGAGAGGGGGTGGAGGCAGGACCGGTTCGAACACGGTGGATGTTATCCACGGCTGGGAATCGAACTGAGGTTGTCCGCTTCATGAACTAACCACTGCGCTACCGCCTCTCTCCCCCGTCATACATTAGGGCAGTGGTTCTTAACCTGGGGTGCACTCGCCCCCTGGGGGTGGGAGGTACCCATTCTGAGAATCATAGGGGTGCAGATTGCAGTAAAGGTTAAGAACCACTGCATTAGAGAGGTGAAAGTGACGGGCGTGTAAACACGCCCGCACATGTGTCGGCGGCATGGTGGGGAGGGGAGGCGGTGATGCGGTCCAGCCATGGCGCATTTGCGGCTTGTTGCGTAAGTTTGCGGTTCGAGTCTGGCCGGCCACCCTGCTTAATACTGCAGTGCATTATAAATAATACAACTGCTTGCTACTACGTGGCAACTGCTTCACATGCTCTGCAAATTTACACAAGTGGGATTACACAGAGCAATATCGGCGACTGTGGTCACCGCCCAGAACAGAACCGTGGAGCGAGTGATGTGGATTCGGTGCCCGATTCACAAACACAAGGGAGGAGGAGGTACACCATCACAGTGATCCACTCCGCTACCCCCAACGCAATTAGCTTACTCAACCGCTTCATAGTAAAATTATAGCTGCAGCTCTACACCCACGCCAGCCGTACAAAGAAGACTGTGAAATATCTCCAACGTAAGGAAGCCACTGGAGCTATGCACTTTGAAATCTAGAAGGCTGTCTCTTCTTTAAAAGGCTATCTCTGTCTCTGGTGTTTGAACATCTTAACACCTGTAGTAATAGGTTTTTAGCCTTTTATCTGGCACCAAAACTGACACCTTTATAAAAGGGGTCATGTTTGCAATAACCACAACACAAGCAGTCAAAATGCAAACAAAAAGAGACAACTCTGATAATGATATGCACTGTCCTTGAAATTGATTGGTCCACACCCGAGACGGCTTTTTTTAGAGCCTAGTCTCCACTGGTGTTGGACCAGATGACGCTAAAAGGCGTACAACGCAAAAACAGTGCACTATCAGAGTATTGAGAGCTCTGGGTAAACATTTACACTGAGACCTCCTTTGCCAGTAGCAAGATATAGTAATGTTTTTACCCTTTTATCTGGCACAAAAACTGACACCTTTATACAAGGGGTCATGTTTGCAATAACCACAACACAAGCAGTCAAAATGCAAACAAAAAGAGACAACTCTGATAATGATATGCACTGTCCTTGAAATTGATTGGTCCACTCCCGAGACGGCTTTTTTAGAGCCTAGTCTCCACTGGTGCTGGACCATATGATGCCAAAAGGCGTACAACGCAAAAACAGCGCACTATCAGAGTATTGAGAGCTCGGGGTAAGCATTTACATTATGAGACCTCCTTTGCGAGAAAGGGTAAAACCTATTCTTATTTTTCAACGTATTCTTTTCATGATTATGTCGCACGTGCAACATGCGGTGGGGGGGGGGTAGGGCGGGGGGGTGTTGCGGCCCACGAACCGAGCTCTGCCTTCTGAGTGAGGATCTGGGTGAGCGTCCAGCGGATCCCGCCGATGAACGAGGCGGTGAGCACGAGCAGGAAGCCCTCCAGGTTGAACTGGGTTGACTCGTAGGTGAACATGAAGAGGCCGCCCGCGATGAGGATCACCACCACGATGAGGCTCGGCCGCTACGCGACAACAACCGTCGCAACGTCGCAACGACAATCACGGTCCAAACGAGCACAGGGACACCATGGCCAAGGCACACGAGGTCTCCACCTGGAGAGAGGTTGCAAGGTGCAGGAGATCTCCCCTTGTGTACGCTCGGAGGTCCGCAATGTTTCATTCACGGTAAGTAACTTTGCTAAGTTTGTGATAAATTCTGGATCGCTGCACTAAGCATCGTTATACATTTCCCATGCCGCTAGACAGACACTGACATTAACGCGAGGATTTTGAGATGGCTCTGAACTCTGAGCTACAGTTCCGTCGATCCAAATAAGCGTGAATGTAACGAGTTACGGATGATGAATTTGTAGTCGGAGGGTGTAGTGGTCAATAAATGATCAAGAAGAAACAGTATACTCTCTGGTTCTTTCGGTAAAGATGGACGCTTGTGTTGTGACCGAAACGTCGTGTTTTCTTTTGTTGTTTTTTTTCTATCTACATGACTTTACCGAAAGAACCAGAGAGTATGGATTCCTGCAGTCACGAAAGCTTCAAATCAAGAAGAAACAGGTTTGAGATTGAACCGAGCAGGAACACTGGCAAAAGCAAGCAACTATCAGCAGAACTCTGTCTCTCCACACACAAATAGACCAACATCAATCAGCATTTGTTTAAGTAAGAAAACTGTGGACCGGTTTAAACATTATAGGTCTCATCAACAGTCAGGCCCGTAAAACAAATGCTGTGGATTACCAGCTGCAATTGAAAAGAGCACTCGAAGTTAAATATGGGGCCCCATATACATGCCGTATGAAGTGCTCTTGCCAATATGCGGAAATATAATTTTATGGAGTTCTCTTTCAATTAGCCAACTTGACCTATATGTGGGGTTATAAATAGATAAAGCACCTTACAAGATCATCTTTAGTCGTGTATTTTTATTGTGATTCCTACCTCTGACAGCACCACACTAAGCGTGGCATACTTGTAGATAAGTGGGGGGGCATGTAGAGGCATGTAGAGCCGTGCAGTGTCGCATGAAACTAAGAGTGGTGTGTGTGCCAACATTGTTGAGTACTCACAGCCTTCTCCAGCCTGAACACGATGGAGAAGAGGAGGATGAAGATGATCGACGTTGACTTGGTCATGGTGTATCTGGATGGGAGCAACAAAAATAAACATCAGAAATTACATTCGCAATAATAATTTAGTGCATTATGGTATTCGTGATATTCCTATAGCTCAGGGCTAGTGCGAAGGCGCTGTTTCACAGACGGCTACAGTCTGCCAGTAGGGAGGGCGAGGATTTTGCGATCGTAATCCCAATTGAGTAACGCAGGTACATTTAAAATTTTGGCAAATTTGGACTGTGACCCTAGCACACAATGACTTATTATTTCCGAATGACATTAGGGGATCTTTAACGTCAACTGTGTCGTGTTTTGTTCCTACGCACAGTGCAGCCTCCTGGACTCGAACCACTACTCTGCAACAAGCGGCAAACGAGCTACTGCTGGGCCGTGTCACCACAAATAAAATCTCATTGCCAAAAACACTCTACACCCTGACCTTACATAGTAATTATTTGGAAACTCGACGACAGCCAATGGATATATTTGCTTCATACACAAATAAAAATTAAAGTGGCATTTTTGAAGTTGCATGAAAGCGAGAGAAAACTTATTTCACTAGAAATGACTTCCTCCAAAGGCAGATCTAAAAAACTTCCTAAAAGATAGTAACGCTCCCAAAATACCAAGGCTCAATGTTAAACACAATAACCATGCTATGTATTTTATCTGAGAAATATCAAAACCCAATAGAACTTTCAGGGACTCAAGGGAGAGGGAGCCAATGCATCCTTGAAACCTCCACTGCCCTCCTTTAGTCTTCACATAGATTATAAATATTGATATTACATGAAACATCAATGCTGAGGATGTTAAAGTATGGTATAAAAAATATTCTTCACATTCCACCGATCGTGCATTCACGTCAGTTCATGAGCTTTTAATCCTGGCCATATTGGTTTTATTTGCAGTTGTATTTCCTTAATATCATAGCAAATGCATTTGTGACATACTTTTAATTCATGGACCTGCATTCTGTAACTCTTATCGAAACCTACAGTGGATGCCATATGGATTAAACCTTTCCAAAACAACTCTCCACAAAGACATTTCAGCACATCGAACGCCTGTATGAATTACAGGCCCATGACCAAATTTCTTTGAGTGTGCCAGACCTCATGGGATCTCGGAAGCTCCGCCTGGAAAGTGCTTGGATGGGTGTTATAGGCTACATGGCTACATGGTGGATAGTAGAGGGCGGTGCAGCAATACCCATTGTTGTACATGCTATGAAGAGGGCCCATTGCCCAAAACGTTACCAATTATAATTGCTTTTAAGGCAGTGTTGTTGACAAGTGCATCGAGTTTCACTGTTGTACTGTACTTTCTACGCACCCGCATCCATGCTACCCGCTTCACCATCTCGCACAGACCAGCAGTGCATTGACAAAGGGACTCTACTTAAAATAAAGAACTGTACGCGTATGCGTGCATATATGTAAACGATGTGTGCATGCAAAAGCACGCTCGTGTTCGTGCCCATGAACGTGTGCACTCGTACACGTGAACGTTCAAATTGATAAGACATCAACGCTCTGACTCACAATGAAATTGTAATGAACAGGAAGCTCCAGTTAGACAGGCCAATATCCAGGGCGCTCGCAATGGCTGAAAACAAACAAAAGAATGATTACATGTTACATTAAACTTGTTAATGCAGGAATGTTTTGAATGTGGCAAACTTGGCCACTGACGCCAGCACACAGTGGAATAAACATCTGAGTGTTGCAGGCCTCAAGGCCATGGCCACGGGGCAACATGAAGTATCGTTCTCACGGTCTGTCAGGACGCTGGAATATATCTCAGGTCCAATGACTACGTCGCACATTTCCCAAGATGGTGGAAATACATTTCCCGCAAATATTCGAGTACAAGACACAGGGCAACTGCTGATAACTTACACAGATCGGACTGTTCTATTGCTCAATGTTGGTGTGAAGTGGATTCTGACAATAATTAAAGCCGTTCTTGCACCCTGTACATGTGCTATTGCCTGCCCAAAGAGATACAAGTCACGCTCAATAATTTAAATGTATAAATACCTTTTATGAAACAATTTAAAGCGTTTTATTATCACTCTGATATTACGTAGTACACTTCACACGTTATATAATTGTTAATCATTATTTTTTTTAATCATAATGTATCCTCTCTTGTACACAAGGTGTTTTTTTTCACTCGATCTCACTGCAAGAAAATAAGTGCTGCAGTTAATGGGCTGCGGGTGAAACAAAACATTGATATAACGTCAGCGTTCATTGCAACATCGTTAACATTGCACTCATCGAATGAACACTACCGCCGATTGCTCTCCCAATCAGCTACATCATTCAAATGAGCAATAGGAGAGGTGGGGGTAAAATTACAATTGTAACTGTGCAATTCACAATAGATCGCAATCACAAATTCAATGTTAAACGTAATGTTAGTCAACCATTGCAATCGCAATCTTGGCAAGTGCCCAAACTCGGCGGGTGGAGAGTTGGTGTCCGTCTCACCCGTGGGCCCCACGCGCTTGAGATACTCGGGCCAAGGCAGGGCCACGCGCTCCCGCTCCCCGGCGCACTGCATCATCGCTCGCACCAGCGCCGAAAACATGAAGTTCATCGCCATGTGCACCATGGTCATGGCCAGCGGGAAGTGGAAACCCTGGGGAAAACAAACGGACGGGGCGTGGCGTCGGTGCCAGGCACGGTGCAGTCGCTATCCCGTATCGCGTTCCCATTGTGCTGGCGGGCCCCATGCTGCGTGGCGGCACAGAAGACGTCCTCCTTTGGTAAATCTTGACAGCAAACACAATGTTTGCATGACGTTGGGGAATGGGCACCCTGAACAGGATGTCACAGGGCTACTTTTGTTGTACGTTTTGGTTCTCAAAACATTCACATGAATGAAGATGGAAACAAAGTTGGTAATCTTAACTAAATTTGATCGCAAGTACCCGTCAGATCTGTCGCAGAGCAACCCTTCATATGTTGGTAGATTGCCTACGGAAGTGGATATCACAGAGCTACCTCTGAACTACCTTCAAGTGACCCCTGGGTCCACAAAATAGCAGAGTGCAGCACTTCCCACTCGCGCTGCACTCCGACAGTGACATTTGTCACATGCAAGTCAAAACGTTATTTACACTTTTAGAGATAGGATTTTATCCGAATTAAGTGTGAAAACCAAATTTAACAAAATGCCCTTTTTGATTAGGTAAAAACAAAACGAATCAACCAGCTACACTTCAAAACCTGGTTGAATCATGGGTAGCTGCCCAGATGCGATCCAATTGTTGTCGGATCAGTGCTCACATTCCTGAATCACGCAGCCACTTCATCCCTGGCACATCTTTGTGGGCTTGGCGCATCTCTCAGGCTACCGAGCGTTGTGTCCGTGCGCTAAATGTCCAACAAGTCACCCCTCATTATTCCCGCAATTCAATAGATTGCCTTGATTCAGGGTCATATGAAATCAACTCAAGAATCAATATACTGTCTTGTTTGTTGAGTCTCGTCTGCACAATCTCAATGTGTGAGTGTTGTTTGTTCCATCGGTAAGGATAAATTAACATTTTGTAGGAGTTTGCACGAAAGTAAAGTAATTGGTTTTAACAAAGCAAGATTCGTTTCGTGAATTGCAACAACAATAATCGATGCTCAGCAATGAATCGTCTACGTTTCAGTCGCACGTATATACATATTTGTTAACAAGGGTCATCCTTTAGACACCAGCCAATACGTTCCCAACAGCGGGCACACAACTGCATTCAATTCAGTGTGTGGATATTGCTGAACTTCTGTCTCCGATGTATCTCACTAATGACAGTAGCCACTACAAAACATTTCACACAGCGACATATTGGCCAACCGCCTTTCACCATCATAATGCACACGTGTAAGTACCCTTTGTTAAGTTGCAGGAATATGCATCCCCTCTGTTGGGCCTGCGTATTGCAGGGTTTTCACATTAAAAAAAAACTGTTAGCCTTGCTTCATGTGAAGTTTCACGCAAACAGGGAATACAATGTACAGTAAATTCAATCCTCACCAACTTGCAAAATTTGTTGGTGAGGATTGTTGGATATTATCATCCTGGGGTACCGGTTTGAGGGTGGCTTCAAACAATGGCCCGGGCTTTCCAGTCTCAGCTGGTGAGGGTGGGATGATGTATTAAAATCATGAGGAGGTAACCTATAATGCACAAGTAATGGCAGGCCACTTTACCAGTTCTCCCTGGGACACAGACCTGTGTTTGCTACACAAGCAGAGGAATCCACTGCTAGACGAGGGCCTATCCAAGCCTTGCGGGTTTGTGCATTGTGGGGAAAAAAAAACGCTTTTATGAAGCCACACCATCTGCATTCCAGTTAATCTATGAAGCCACTCCCATTTGCAGGTAACTGGACACAATACTTGAGTACTCTGGATGGATTTGAATATTTGTCATGAGAAAGCCCTGTCGTTTTTAGTACAAAAATAACATGTATTTCAAATGTAGGCTTTCACGGCCAATATTATGATTCGTACTTGGTTTCATTTAGTTTTTCAACTGATTTGGTTTTTCAGAAAACTAGGAGAATGTTGAAAAGCATGGGTTTTTTTGACAATGTTTACACGAAGTTTCGCTGGAGATTATATCCAGCAGAATCAGGCGTTAACAATAACTCAGCTCTTGCGTGAAAGAGCTTCTCAATCTGGATCCCTAATCAAAATAGAAAACTCCAGCTTTATAACATAATAAACCGTAATATATTCATGGATAGCCTATTTTCACCTGCGCTACAGAGATTCACCTTAATGCGATAAACTAACCTGGCAATTACAACCAACCAACAATCAACTGGTAATTATTAAACTGGTTCATCAGGATGTCTGCCCTAATGATACGATGGCACCAACTAAATGCCCTGGATCAGGAAGCTCTTTCACGCAAGAGCTGGGCCCCACGTCAGACAGGGTACAACAGGGCGAAGGGCACCTCACCCCAGCAGCGAACTGACAAAGGGCTGGTGTCTCCCCCTTCATCAAAGGGCTGGGAAAAGGGCCAGTCTCACCCGCATCAAAGGGCTGGTCTCACCTTCATCATCCACTTGTTGTAGAAGGTGATGCCGATGGAAAAGCTGTAGTAGAGCACCACGAGGCCCAACGTGAGCAGCGTGCGGCGGCACAGGCGGCACCAGTCGGCGCCGCTGAGCCGTCGGGCCGGCATGCAGCTGGCAGTAGAGAGAGCCTGGCCCGAGCCCACGCAGCTCTCGGCGAACTTGAGACGGATGGAGACGCGCTTGCGACCCGCTCGCTTCCCCTTGGTCATAATGCCGCGGCGACGGGTCTCTCAAAAAATGAAATATTGGGGTGCACTCCCCAGTTATAAAGCCAAACCACACTGGTTTAATATGCACGAGGGCCAGGTCTTCTTTGCAAAGTAGTTAGCATGTTTAAAGTCTTCAACAGTGAGTCACTTGCCTTGAAGGACTTTAAAAAAAAGAGTGTGGTACGCAAATCCCCTTGCAGATGAGACGTGTCTGAAATAACCGCCCCCCCCACCCACACATGGGGTGCTCGTGATATTGACCGATGCGTCTCAACACACCAATATCTCGTCACCTCTTGCCAATGCTTAATTCGCGATGTGGCGTTCCTATTCAACCCCAGGTTGCGTGTCACGACGCGGCAAGTCTTCAGAGGCTAGTCCGTGTCGTCGGGCTGCCTCTTGACGTTCATACTTTCTGCTGAGTGAGCACGCAGAGTCAGCAGATGAATTCGCTTCTCTAGCCAGCGGAAGTCGCTTTCAGCCTCACGCTGTTTCACGCAGTTACAAAAGCAGTCGGGTCCTAACATTGACTTTCTCTCTGGCTGTGCGCGTTCCAAGTCTTTTCAAATATGCACGCACGTTTATAGTTTTGTCCGCGATCCAATGTCACACAATAACTTTACTTTTTAGATGATGATGATGATGATAATAGGAAGAAACCCCGACAATGCTGCACTTGCAGTGACATTAACTCGCCCCTTTAAGAGTAGTGCTGGCTCTCAAGCGGCCAGCTGTCAACATTCGCGCTGTTAAGTGTGCAGCCAACGTCAATAGCAAGCACAGCACCTCCCCGATGCCACGGCCATCCGTGTGACAGGCGACTAGACTTAGCAATAATAAACACGAATAATAATGATCAGTTTATCATAACAAACATTGACACACTGCGTTGAGCGGTGGCTACACGTAAACAAACTCGCTACCTGCGTAATTAACACATCTCTAAGACTGTAAGTGTCAATATTGTCCTCAACAAGCCTCGTCGACAACTCTCTTCCCAGTCACGGTAAACAATGCCTGCTGTGTGTAATCAAACCCGCTTTTCGTAGAGTGATGTCACCGAAGTTAGCAGGGGGTGGCTACGCATGATGCGAACTAAGTTCAACATACACACTGAATCACCGACTTGAGACCGAACGCATTATAAAATACACCAGGCGTTGGTCAATAGCCGTTCGTTTTATAGCATAAACGGCAGGCAGATTATAATCAAGGCAGAGCTTCGGCTAGATCTCCAGACGCTTTCACCACAGATACCGGAATACTTAAATCACGGCACAATGAAGAACACCGACGCCGCATAGGGGAGGCGAGCACGCCTCGGTCCGCACGGACGGGTTCACGAAGCCGCCTCCTCGCTGTGCACCGCAACAACTCCCGACGACAATTCGCAGCAAGGCCGCTTTGGAAGTTTCCTTCCCTCCCTCAAATCTGTTACAGCGGACACGGAGCGGCTTGCAGAGAGATATAAAGGGCGGAGAAGAAGCCAGCCGAGGATCGAAGAGTATCGTCAAGTCCGACGTTGCCGGCTACAGAGCCAGGCGGGAGGGGGGGTGCGGGGCCTCGCTCGGCCCCCGACGAGGCTCGCTCTGCCTGGGGCAGAGCTTCTATCCGACAGCGGGGGGTTAGGCCGCGGGGCCTCGCGCCGAGAGCGGTCGCCGCCGCGCGTCACCGGGCGGGATGAGACGGGCGGCGCGGCCCTGTCTCGCGTCGCGCACGGCTCGATGAGGCGCGTAGTGGGGACGAGGCGGAGGACGCGGCGAGGAGGCGGAGGCCGCGGGAGAGGCCGAGGCCGGCGATGTCACCGACGGACGCAGCGGGGAACCTCCACGTCACTGCGCGAGCGGGGCCCCGGCACGTGAATCCCCCAGCCCCCCCCCCAGTCCACCCCCAGTCCCCCCCCCCCGTCCCCCCCCACTCCCCACCCCCCGTGCGAGGGGGGGGGGCCCTGAACGTGAATCGCACGCACCTTCATCCGGCAACAGCGCGCACATCATCCGCCGCACTCTCCACCGCTCTCCCGGCCGCGTCTCTCTCCGCTCTCTCCTCCTCCTCCACTCCGTCCCCTCTCTGGACCGACCTCCTCCCGTCCCGTCCCTCCGTCCCGTCCGTCCGTCCTCACGGCCATGAGCACGTGGAGTGACTGCGCCGAGCGCTGGGCGCTGGACGCGGCCGCGCTGCTGCTGGCCTGCGTGGCCGCCCCGCTGCTGCTGGTGGCGCTGCCCGCACTGCGCCTCCGCATCCCCTACGGCCGCTACGCCTCCCGCAGCTGGGGGCCCGGGCTGCCCCCGCGCCTCGCCTGGGTCGTGCAGGAGCTGCCCGCGCTCGCCGTGCCCGCATGGCTCATCTGCGGGGAGTCGAACCCGGGAGATGTTTACCCGGGAGGCCCGGTCGTGCCCTGGCCCAACCGCGTGCTGCTCGCCATGTTCATCGGCCACTACTTTCATCGGTGCGATGCTGATGGTGATCGATGGTGCTGTTGCTGCTGCAGGAGAATTCGTGGAGTTTTGTTATTGCTCCTGCATTGTAGGAGCGCAGACGTACGTTGGTGGTTTGCTATGATGCATGGGTCCCGTAGTTTGGGTTGCATGGACACAATTGCCCCACTCTCTGGCTTGTCTTTAATGTAATTCTGTGGGGTCCCGATGTAGCGCTGTGTGTGTCTCTATGGGTTTGCTATACAGTCTGGGTCGCGTGATCACACTCGCACGACTGTGGGCTCGTCTTTAACGCGCGGCCTGCTGATTCCTCAGGTCATGATGTTGCTGCTGATGCGGCTTACTGCTGCTGCTGCTGAATTGTTATCAGCGTTGTTAAAAGTGTGCGTGTGTGTGTGTGGATCGCTCTCCGACACACTGGCGTGTGCTGATGCAATAGATACGTCGGTGCGTTTGTTTACGTGACAACTGTATTTGTTCGTATGGCATTGTACTCAACGTTGTCTGACCCAGAAGATCAATGATTTATTTCGCGTTGTTTTCACACTGGACAAAGGCGTTTTTTTCTTAGGAGGGTGCTGCCAAGATGTAACAGTAGGGGGTGATGTTGCTGCTGCTGCTGCTGCCGCTCCTGCTGCCGTCTGTTCAATCACAATTGAGAAAATAGCAAGTGTCGTTCAGGCTTGCGATGTCTTGGCCCAATACCAGTCACAGAGAATAAACCAGATAATCCGGAGTAACCCCCCCCCCCACGCAGAACAAGAGGAGAAAATCTTGATTGGAAGCTTTCGTGACTGCAGGAATCCATACTCTTTGGTTCCTTCGGTAAAGTCACGTAGTAGGTAGAAAATAAATTAAATCACGACGTTTCGATCGCAACACAAGCAATCATCATCAGGTGGGAAAACCGCAGCAATAATTTTTTTTTCCCACTTTGGCAGAAAAAAAATGTTCTTGCTGTGGTTTTCCCACCTGATGATGATTGCTTGTGTTGCAACCGAAACGTCGTGATTTATTTTATACCTACCTGACTTCACCCAAAGGATCCAAAGTGTAAAGGAGAGAAAATGCAAACTCTCACAGAGAAAGTTGCCCGAGTTGGGAATCTCTAATCCAGGCCCTTCTTTGCTGAGCAACAAGTGTTAACCGCTGTGCATCCACCCTTGCCTCCCTTATCAGGACTCGATCCACACGCTCACGGGTTCTCTGCATCTCGCGCGTGTGCGCAGGGCGCTCATCTACCCCTTCCTCCTCCGCGGAGGGAAACCCATGCCGTGCGTGCCCTTCCTCCTCGCCCTGGCGTTTTGCACCTTCAATGGCTACTTGCAGGGCCGCACGCTGCTCACGTGCACCCGCTACCCCGACGGCTGGCTCTATGACGCCCGCTTCGTCGCAGGTGTGTGCACGCCTCTTTGTGGTTTTTATTACACGCTTTCTACTAACTCACTCTGCCTGTTGTTGTTGTTGTCGTTGTGTCCTCAAATCTTTTAACTCAATTTTAACCCACTTCCCAATGTGGTATCGACTGCAAACTTGGTTTAATTATGTCATACTGATGACAATACCTTATTCTATCATAAAAAATAAAAATATATATTTTTAAACATTCTTTTTTATATGTTATGTTTCGGCTTGGGTCTAATTGTCCACGGTCAACTGACGTTGGCTGTAATTGGCCAGGGTCCCTTACGTTGTGGCGAGCTTCGGGGCCACTTCCTGGAGTCGTGGAGTTCTTATATTACTAGTACATTTATAAAAGCGTGTTTAAAAAAAAAGTTTTTTTAAATATTACTTATTTTTATTTTTTTGTTTGAACGCAATCGCTGAGCCTCAGGGCCCGACGGCCCATCATGCCAAGCGGCCAGCAAGCATCATTAAGAGTTGTAACAGATAAGCGTTAAAACATTTCTCGAATTTGAGCCAGGCAATTGATATGAGAGCTTGGAAAAGACACAATTGGAGGGAATTCCAAGGTGTGTCAGCGTTTGAGGGAAGATGCAGAGAGAGGAGAGGAGTGATCTGCAGTGTGGTGAGTGGGTGGAGGGTGAATGTCTTTTTGTTGTGACCTGCGGTGTGGTGAGTGGATGGATGAGTGTGTTGTTGTCACCTGTGCTATCGCACGTAACAGGTGAAACGTGTGAAGGTTTCCACCCTGCACGCAATAGGTCAGTGCTGCAATGTTTCTGCAGGTCTCTCGCTCTAGCGTATGGCAAGTATGTGCAAATCACACGTCCAAGTTTAAGTCTGTAAGCCATGCGATAGCTTCAGTAGTAGCGCGATCTAATACTGCTCAGTCTCGCCAGAGAGCAGTTGTTCGCAATCTGGTCCATTGTCTGGTTCGGGTGGCCGCAGTCACTGTGGGTTGTCTTTAATTCTCCACTTGTGGAGGAGGTGCGTGCCGCGACCTGTTGCTGTTCTTCAACGGTTGATGGAGCTTTATTTGGAATGTCCACAGAACTCCACAGTGTTCGCCAGCGGTCTTCAATTGACCCCGCTTCATCCAATTGTCTCGCACGATCCCAGATTGGTTTCCTGGATTTCAAACGAGTTCGTGGAGGGTCAAGCAGGTGGGTGGCTGGTGTGACGAGGTGAAAGTTGAGGGTCACTTCCCTGGCTTCCCTCTGGTGCCAGTTAAAGCTTGAGGGACCGGTTTTAGTAGGGGGCAATAAAGAAGGGGTTGCGGGGACGTGATGTGGTGAGGAGGAAGAAGGCAAGCGCAGTGGCCTGATCCACTGTTGGAGTTTGGAAGAACCACACCGAGTGGAGCAAGAGGGCCTGGTCCACTGCTGGAGTGCGGAGCAACCACACACCCAGGGCTGCAATAGTCTCAAGCAGTGCTGCCCCAGAAGCTGAGTGTGCTGTACCTGGGGCTGAGTGTGCTGGGCTGCGAAGTGTGGGTGCAGTCTCTGCTGCTGGAGTGGAGGGGGGACACCACACCCAGGGCCACGAGGAGGGCCCTATCAACTGCTGGAGTGTGGAGAGACCACTTCAAGAGCTGGGTGAGCAGCATCGACTGTTGGAGTGCGGGGACTCGCCAGACCAAGAACAACAAGGACATACATATATATTCATATTCTTAGCTCTTTCGGTAAAGTCACGTTGAAGGGAAACAATAAAATAATAAAATATATATAAAACACCTGATGACGACCGTTTGTGTTATGGTCGAAACGTGAGAATTTTTATTGTTTTATATATTTTTTATTATTTTATTGTTTCCCTTCAACGTGACTTTACCGAAAGAGCTAAGAATGTGAATTACTGCAGTCACGAAAGCTTTAAATCAAGACATACATATAGTTGCAAGGGCCTCTTCAGCTTTCATATGTCGGGCAACATCAAGACTTTGGAGTGCTGCATCCACAACCCCAAGGGAGCCACCTGCTCTACCTACCGCTGGAAGGCGGGCACACCACACTGAGGAAGCCATCAGTGCTCTGTCTACTGCTAGACTGGAGACACCGCACCAAAGAAGGCACTAAAGCTCTGCATATTGCTGCATGCTGACTATTAAGAACTGGGACACGCAGGACCGTGAGTCCTTGTAAACGGGCGCGCCGGTGGGTGCATATGCGGCATGGAGTCGTTCGGTTGGGTGCACAAAGTTCCTATTTCTTTGTTAAGTTCAATATAGAACACACAACTCAGACGATACTTGTGGGGTTCTGCCTAATAAGTGTGCATGAAAGCATCTCTAAAAGTGTGGCAAAACGACAAACCCACTTGGAATCGCACTCCCCATAAAGCCCGCAACTATTTCAATGGTTACAACTGGTTTCCAGAAACTTGGACCACAGTATATTTACTGATACATCAGTAACCTGATACAGTAGTAATTTGATACAGAAACATGCCATGTCATCCGGTGTTGTGGTAGGGTTTTGTTTTATTTAGGCAGTCCGTGGAAGAGTTTTCAGCATTTCAAGCGGATAGGAAAGGATTTTTTACGCATGTGACCGTAGGAAGATTTTAAAGAGCCAAGATGCAGCAGATTTGGTGTAAGCTGTATGGAACAATAGCATAAATCCAACGAAAAGGTGTCGGAATAGTTTGGTGGGGTCAAGATAGGTGTTTGTCAGATGTGAAATGTGATTGTTTAAGATTGTTTAAAAAAATGTGTGGAGTATGAGAGGTAGAAGACTTGAATATCGCAACGGTCCTTTTGCACCCGAGTGACTCGAGTGCAAAATGATGATTCATTTTTGCTAGCGGGGACCTTTGCCTGGACTACTGCAGCTCTAGGCACCTGTAAGTACTGAGGCTGGACCCTGGGACATATATATTAATTTGCAGTGGTAGGAAGGTTTCCTGACTATTTGAACTACGTTCTGACACAGGTTTCATAAATAAGGTGCAATGTGGAGGTCGTTAAAGGCTCTCTGTATTTAGGTAGTACTTCAGTGTTCATGATGCAATGGACTGTGACAAGGAGGTTATTGGCTATAGAAGTTTACAAGGGGTCTAATTTAGCTGCACTTTGGACTGTGTCAGGGGAAGAGTGATGGATGCCATGAGGGCTGCTAGATTGGTAACGTACTCAAATATAACATCATTCCACGTGTGGTACAGTTGACAACTGCCAAGCTGCTATGAGTAGAGGTATGTTTTCATTATTTCATAGCAAACCAAACGTGGTTTTATTTTCTTGAAGCACGGTAAATTTTTCTGAAATTATTCAGCATTTCCGTAAATACAATTGGCCCTTCTTGATTTAAAGCTTTCGTGACTGCAGTTATTCATATTCTTAGCTCTTTCAGTAAAGTCACGTTGAAGGGAAACAATAAAATAATAAAATATATATAAAACAATACAAATTCTTGCCGTAGGTTTTCACACCTGATGATGACCGTTTGTGTTATGGTCGAAACGTCGTGAGAATTTTTTTATTGTTTTATATATATTTTATTATTTTATTGTTTCCCTTCAACGTGACTCTACCGAAAGAGCTAAGAATATGGCCCTTCTTGGTTTCTGTTTAATTGAATCGGAAGTCAGCCATTGTTTTTTGTCCGCAAATTGCCTGTTGCGATTTTGAACGTTGAAACACAACCGTACCCACTACATTGTGTGTTTTGGTGTGTCGAGTATCCGGGTGTGGCTGACCTCGTGTGACCCTGGCGGTGCGGGGTGTGTGTGTGTGTGGTGTGGCTAGGGGCAGTGCTCTGGCTTGCTGGTTTGCTGATAAACCTGCACTCGGACCACATTTTGCGGAATCTACGCAAGCCCGGTGAAACGGGCTACAAGATCCCACGCGGTCAGTAGCCCAGCAGGTGCCCCGCCTCCCTCTACGAACCTCCTAATGGTAGTTTTTATATCGAGTCACGCCTTTTCAAATGTTGGCATTCGGTCTTCCCTCGTTGAACGGAAACTCAATACACAGAAGTTCACGTTAGGGAGTGAATTCGATGTACGTTACGTTAAATTTGCATTCGTGGAATTTTTACTGTCCAAATTCGAAAAAATGTTGCGGATAAATCGGACAATGTGTGGTCTAATCTTGATTTGAAGCTTTCGTGACTGCAGGAATCCATACCTACAGTGAGGGAAAAAAAGTATTTGATCCCCTGCTGATTTTGTACGTTTGCCCACTGACAAAGAAATGATCAGTCTATAATTTTAATGGTAGGTTTATTTGAACAGTGAGAGACAGAATAACAACAAGAAAATCCAGAAAAACGCATGTCAAAATGTTATAAATTTATTTGCATTTTAATGAGGGAAATAAGTATTTGACCCCTCTGCAAAACATGACTTAGTACTTGGTGACAAAACGCTTGTTGGCAATCACAGAGGTCAGACCTTTCTTGTAGTTGGCCACCAGGTTTGGACACATCTCAGGAGGGATTTTGTCCCACTCCTCTTTGCAGATCTTCTCCAAGTCATTAAGGTTTCGAGGCTGACGTTTGGCAACTCGAACCTTCAGCTCCCTCCACAGATTTTCTATGGGATTAAGGTCTGGAGACTGGCTAGGCCACTCCAGGACCTTAATGTGCTTCTTCTTGAGCCACTCCTTTGTTGCCTTGGCCGTGTGTTTTGAGTCATTGTCATGCTGGAATACCCATCCCCTTAGAAAAACACCCCAAAAGCATAATGTTTCCGCCTCCATGTTTGACGGTGGGGATGGTGTTCTTGGGGTCATAGGCAGCATTCCTCCTCCTCCAAACACGGCGAGTTGAGTTGATGCCAAAGAGCTCCATTTTGGTCTCATCTGACCACAACACTTTCACCCAGTTGTCCTCTGAATCATTCAGATGTTCATTGGCAAACTTCAGACGGGCATGTATATGTGCTTTCTTGAGCAGGGGGACCTTGCGGGTGCTGCAGAATTTCAGTCCTTCACGGCGTAGTGTGTTACCAATTGTTTTCTTGGTGTCTATGGTCCCAGCTGCCTTGAGGTCATTGACAAGATTCTCCTGTGCAGTTCTGGGATGATTCCTCACCGATCTCATGATCATTGCAACTCCACGAGGTGAGATCTTGCATGGAGCCCCAGGCCGAGGGAGATTGACAGTTCTTTTGTGTTTCTTCCATTTGCGAATAATCGCACCAACTATTGTCATCTTCTCACCAAGCTGCTTAGCAATGGTCTTGTAGCCTATTCCAGCCTTGTGAAGGTCTACAATCTTGTCCCTGACATACTTGGAGAGCTCTTTGGTCTTGGCCATGGTGGAGAGTTTGTAATCTGATTGATTGATTCTGTGGACAGGTGTCTTTTATACAGGTAACAAGCTGAGATTAGGAACACTCCCTTTAAGAGTGTGCTCCTAATCTCAGCTCGTTACCTGTATAAAAGACACCTGAGAGCCAGAAATCTTTCTGATTGATAGGGGGTCAAATACTTATTTCCCTCATTAAAATGCAAATCAATTTATAACATTTTTGACATGCGTTTTTCTGGATTTTCTTTTTATTCTGTCTCTCACTGTTCAAATAAACCTACCATTAAAATTATAGACTGATCATTTCTTCGTCAGTGGGCAAACGTACAAAATCAGCAGGGGATCAAATACTTTTTTCCCTCACTGTACGTGACTTTACCAAAAGAACCAAAGAGTATAATCTTTGGTTCTTTCGTGACTTTACCTGATAGATAAAAATAAAAATCACGACGTTTCGGGCGCAACACAAGCGTCCGTCATCAGGTGGGACAACCACAGCAAGAAACAATTGCTGACTTTACCAAAAGAACCAAAGAGTATGGATCCCTGCAGCCACAAAAACTTCAAATCTAGATTTAACTAAAGAGTAATGTGTGGTCTGTTTCTCCTCGCGTGCATGGCATGCTGTCCCAGGTTGTCTGCACAGCACGCTTTTCAGACTGTACTGGTTCTCCCACGAGAACCAGTACAGTCTGAAACTTATCTTGAGTCATTCTGTTAAGAGTTAACTCCGTCACACTCTCATGCTGTTACAGTTAACTCTTACCATGGATTTACATCACGGGCCAGGTGACAGCCTCGTGGAAAAAAAAAACATGTAATTTTTACCATCAGTGGAATATTGCATTTGTGACTTGACAAGAACGTGTCTCCCATGTTCGAATAAGCAACAGGCGGCGTCCATCTCCATTAGTGGTCATAAACCAATGGTGGAATTTCCACATTCTGTTGGTAGTTTGATCACTGTTGGCTTCTCCTAGGATGGCGACTTGTATTGCTGGCACAATGTGTGACCCAAAAAGATGTGTTTACTTACCGATGTCCGTTGGCACGTGTCCGCATTTTTCTTCTAGGGGGAATGTTTGAGTTCGTGTCGGGAGCAAACTTCTTTGGGGAGATGGTGGAGTGGCTGGGCTTTGCTATCGCGTGCTGCACCCTGCAGGCCTGGGCTTTCTCTGTGTTCAGCATCACGGTCATCGGGCCACGCTCCGTTCACCACCACAAGTGAGTCTACACCCCTAAACACGGCATGGCGCGAGGACCCAGCACGGGTGGTGACGTGGCCCAGAGGTGGCGCGTTCGCCGCTTGTTGCCGAGGTTTGCGGTTCGAGTCCGACGACCGCCCTGGTTAATACTGCGGGTGAATTTATCGTAAAAAAAATACTACGACTACGTGCCGTTTGCTTCAAAGTGGATGTTAGAGATCCCGCGGCATCGTTCAAAAAGTCGGCCATTGTGTGCCGACGTAACGGTCCACATTCGGAGCAACAGCAGCCGCTTCTTATGCGATGGTTCTCTTGCTGGACAGAGCGTGAAATCACCGAGCCAACACGATTATAGTCCTCTCGGTGTATTAAAGTAACCTTTTTGATTTAGCAATGAAAGGTAAACAAACAAACGTTCATTTAATCAGTAATCAAAACATACACGAAAGTAATATTTCGCTAAATAATTCACCCGTTTTTAGGATTATCAGGTAAAAAATGGACTGCCAACATGTGATAGACAACCCCAGAGCACAACCCCGGTTACAGAGACCATCCCCAAAATAAATTAACAGCACTTCGCCTAACTTGCAGTTGAGTACCACTGCGCGCTCGTTCGGTGCCCTACAGTGCAATTTTAATTGGTAACCTCTGGCGTTTTGTGCTGTTTGCTGCAGATGGTATCTGGAAAAGTTTGAAGACTACCCCAAGAAAAGAAAAGCTGTCATTCCATTCCTATATTAAATGCAAATTAAACAAATTGAACGTGGGTTGGGTGCTTGGCCTGTGCAGAATAAAATGTGTGCTGCCTGTTGCACATTTAATCATCTGCTTGCATTTCCTGAAATGAACAGGGGAGTTCATGGTCGAAGCACTACTCCTTATGGACAATAGTTTTTTACGTCACTGTCATTGCTATATGAGATTTGCGAAAATTTTTTTACTTTTTTTGCGGCCGTTCTAATTGGAGGTGGCGTATTTGAGCTTCCTATTCAGGCTCTTTCCCTTCCTTTTCAGGCCCCACCCCTCTTTCTTTAGGCCTCGAGAAGCCCCCACCTCTTTCCTCTCTGCCCCCCCACCTGCCTTCAGCCTTTAACCCTCATCATGTCTTCCCGATTAGATTGGAAACGAATTTCTTTAAGAACTCCCTTGCGTGTTTAGTTTTGTTGTCCTTCCCCCGCACCTCCGATTGGCACTGTTGGCTACGTAGGGTGCGAAACAAGTTGTATATACGGTACATAGATCATGCCCAAATGTCTCTTCCTGTTTCAGCTGTGCCTTTCCTTTTTAGGCCCTGCCCCTTCATCTTATGCCCTGCCTCTTTCTGGTTAAGCCCCACCCCTTCCCCCAGAAACAGTAAGTGGGGGGGGGCTACACTGAGCAGTGGAAGTGGGGACAGCAGAAGTGGGTGTTGCAGCAGTACAATGATGACCAAAATACCCCTTAGCGCAGCAAGATAATAATGATGTTGTTTTAGTCCCGCAAGGAGTTTCTGCAGAACCACTATCGGTCACGTGTCCGTGTTATATCGCATAAGGTTCTGCGACTGCATGGCCTAGAACATACGATTTTTATTAAATGATTGCTAATGTCCATATGCTTTTCAGAAAATGTAACTGCAAGCACTAAAATACTGTAGTATTTAAAAAAAAATCTTTGCATAAAGTTACTCCCACGTCACTGAAATCGACATGGAGGGTCATATCGCATGATCTCACAGTGTGTTCAGCAATCCGAGTGCACTAGACAGCGGTTACCATCCACCAAACCTCCAAGCTCAGGAACATGCTTTTAACCGTCTTTGTATAATTTTAGTTTTTGAAACGAATATACTGTATAGCATTAGTTTGATCAAATATTTGTGTCATGGCCGAGTAATTATGAACTATATTATTTATCTGTAATGGAGCCTCAATACTAAACGGTGGCTCTGACTAAATACCTGGTATCGTTGAGTGGAGTTGGGGTCTCGTTCCTTGCTTCCCAATGTTCTACGTCCTCACGTGGCCTTCTTACGTCAACGTGACCCTTGCTAGCATCGGTGGCAACATAGCGCTCCCTTCCAAAGTTTTTGAAGTCAATCGTGGCTATTGAAATGACTTGACTGGATACCCCCGATAGCGCCAGACCTCGGAAGCGAAATATGGTTACGTTTGGATAGTGCTTAGATGGGGTGACCACCAAATAGAATAACAGGTGTCAGGCTATGCTGTGGGCAGTGCAACCAAGTCCATAGGACAAGGTGACACTGTTTGGAGGCTTTCATCCAGCAGTGGATTGATCGCAGCTCATGGTGATCATTATCACCTGCAAGGATTACTATTTAATGGCATAACACACCTTTGCTAAAAGCCAAACGCATGAAATATATTTTTATTCACGTAAAAAAAGAAACATTTTAAAAATTATTTCTAAAATAGGATTTTACATGAACTTTCGATACAAGACTGACATTTTATAGAAACAATTTTAATGTAGACGTTGGCTTTCACGTCAAAATAAAGTGCACATCACAGCACGTGCTATTTCAGTGCATGACAATATGTGCATTCGCGTTTGTTTCCATGTAGAAATCAGTTCATATATATAGCACGTGCTCACATCATCACAAGCAACGAGGGACACCTCAAATCGTGAACGCTTCCCCGGGGTTCTGTTGTGGTACCGATACTCAAAATGATCATGTATTGGATGTAATGATGTTTAAACCAATATACAAAAATATTCCTGAATTCTGAAATGTTACATTTGTTACGTTCCCTGATGGTAAATGTATTATATCGGTCGTGTGACCAGATTCAAATATAATAATTTACACCCCTCTTGTCAAGCCATGCCGTGTCATTCAATGGGGGGGTTGATTGTACTTCACAGCTGGTCAGTGTGGGTTGGCGGAGGACGGCTCGGAACCGAATCACGTATCGCTCGCCACCAATGTTAAACGGAGCTTGGAATTGAACTCGGCTCGAAGGGGTTATAGGACACTGGCTCAACCCGCACAGTAAAGAGTGTAGCGTATACATTTTGGTTAACATTTTCAAAGTGCAATTTTGAAAGTGTTCTAAAAATATATGGATATTGATTTTTTTTTCAGTTTCCTTGCAAAATAGTTACATGTGTATCACTGCATTGAGACATCCGTGAACATTTAAAGAGTACCCCAATTTATTTCAAACGAGATCAATTGAGGCCACCGCTAAGTCGCCAGTCCTGAGATCTTGTGATGGAAGAGTTTCTCAAGCTGCAAGAGCAGACCCAGCCTGTACTGGAGAGTGTCTGTATTGAGTTTCAGTAGAAATGTGTACAGTGGTTCCCTGAGTAAAACCTCAATGGGTACAAACTCCAGCACCTGCTGCCGAACGTTACACTCCCGGTCTCCTCTTCCATCGCTGCATTGCTCTCCAGCGTTTGAGACCGCATGCTGCAGCACACTGATAAACTCCTTCACGCCTTTGTAAAATGATGGATGGCGCAGACCCACGCAGAGTAAGACGGTGGTGATGTGAAACGAGCTGGGCGAGAGGTTGAGGAAGGAGAGGCGGGAGAAACATTGTGAAAGGGCAAAGATTATTCCTGCAGAGAATCGAGTAAGGGCGGCGGGTAGGGGCAGCACCAGACAGTCGCCCTCTGCCAAGTGGGAGAACATCAGTTGCAATCCGTCAACGAGATTTTGCTGAAACAACACATCTCCGTCGTAGAGCAGTGGGCTGCTTAGAACGCCGACGAACGGTTTCGGAATGAGGGCCGTGTCGCGAGTAGTGCTGCAAGTGTCAAGAGGCGTGGGTGGCAGAACTGAAGGTCCTCCACCGCAAGCACCGTCAGGCTGTGCGCTGTGTACGACTGCACTTGCACTGGATTCATCGGCACTTTGGGATTTGTTTTTCCGAGAATTATCGATGACATCGTCCATGGCGTTTAACTGCGCACAGAGCGTTTGTCCAACAGACGCAAGTCGAGTCTGTTGCCCGATATCCATATAGTAAACGCCTCTCGGTTCCTTCCCATTCAAAAGTTTCAAGAGCGTCGCTCGGACGTGCTGCTCCGTTTCCGCGGCGCTCCGGCTTCCGTCGCGGTGCTGCCCGCTCAGCCACACGGCGTTGGCCGGCCGCACAACGGCCGCCTTGGCCCGCGCCTCGTTGAGACGCTCCAGCAGTTTCACGTCGCAGAACGGGGAGTTGGCCACGCGTGTGAGCGCAGGCCCGTGCCGCACGGAGAAGGTGCCCTCGTCTGGAGGATCCTGCGAGCACTCGAGCACGCGCTCCTCCGCAGGGTCCTCGGAGCGCCCGTCCGCGCCCTCGCCCTCGCCCTCACGAGCCGCGTCGCGACTTGGCGAGTCGATCTTAAGCAGGGCATCGAAGGTCCGCATGTCCGGCTCAAAGTAACCCTGCATTACCTTCTCTCTCCAGCTCAGGCTCTCCAGTTCTTTCCTCTGGTTGTAGGTCCCCACCTGACGCTGCTTTCCCTTCCCCGAGTACGACTGAAAGGGTGGTGCGCCAGATCCCCTGGGTGGTCGCTGCATCAGCCAGTCGCGCCGGGCGAGGGGTTGCACGTCGAAGCGGTCCGTGTAGAACCAGGCGGCGGCCTCGCGCACTGCCTCGATGTGAGCCCAGCGCTCCTCGCCCGCGTCGTTCTCAAACAGCCACAGGTTCTCCAGAATCGTATCAGCCTGCAGCTTCTGCAACGGGGAAACATTTTCTTAAAAACGAGCTTCGGCACAATTAACACAAAACTATAGCAAGGTCACAATTTATGGAAGGCAAATTCGTGGTCTCCTTTGGGTCCCCTTGGCCATTCCGTATGGGGAATGGTGCGAATACCAAAACGTACTAAACAATTACTAAAGAAGGCGTGTGGCCACCTGGAACATGGTGGCGCAGGCCAGCAGCTGCTGGGTGAAGGAGGGAGGAAGACGGCTGGCAGGGAAGAGGGCCGTGTGGGCGCACGCATCTGGGCCCACGTGCTCCTCGAGCCGCTCCAGCAAGGCGGGGGGGAACGTGTGCCGCCCGCGGAAGCCCAGGCACACCACGTACAGCTCCGAGTTGCCTGCTTTGCTCGTGGCCGGTTTCACCACGTGGACCTCCTATGAAAACACCTTTGCGTCACTTGTACATATGCGCGTTCATTTATTTATGTAGCGTCATACATGGTAAATTGTATATACAAACGCCGTAGAATGTCACGTGCACTTTTCACGCGGGAAATCAAAGACGAGCGCGAAGGCAGCCGGGACCGGCACCAATAATTGCCCAAGCTCTGTGGTCCTATATTCGGACATCTGTGAGAAAGAGCTTCATAGCTCATGGGATTCCTCCAGTCTGAACATTCGATCCTCGTACAGATGGAAATGAATCCACTTGGCGTACTGCCATGCCCTGGCAAGCCAGAAGATGGTGAGCCCGCCATCTCACAATCTGTGTGACCCACTCATGCTTGCTCAAGCGTGCTGGTTTGTTGGAGTGCACAGCCACCAGCGGGAGCGGTCGCGCAGTGGTCAGCGTGCTGCACTACAAACCCGGCGACCCGAGTTCGATTCCCGCTCACGGCCAACATCGGTGATGATTATCTGAACCGGTCCTTGACCTCGCCTAGATCGACTCATCCTCAAATGAGGAACTGGTGCGATGTGTGTAAACATCGCCACGAGGGAGACAAAGGCAGCCGGGTGTGGCGTTAGCCACCCACCGCTTCGTGTGCCGTTCCAGCCTTCATAGGTGCTCGCTAACAGTATAAAAATGTATGGACGCATGTATATGTGTGTGTCGGTGTAGCTGTCAAAGCAGAAACGGTTGCGTTTTTTAATTGGATGAGCAGTCAGTTGAGATTTAAAACTTGCCGCACATGCAAACCCTCTCAACCGCAAAGGATCACACTAATGAAATTTTAAATCGGGGCATTGCACCGAACAATATAATTCTTTGTAATGGACCCAAGTGTCATGACCCACTGGCCTATTTCAGGATTACGCTTGAGAATAAGCTTTTACGCTTCAAGAGAACTCTTTAGGCATAAAGAATCAAATTTATGTCAGGAACCCTAAATATTGTTACCTTATTTCATCAAGTGTGAACTTATGTATCTTTGCTAATGGGTTGAATTAGTTTAATTAAAGTTGGCAAAAGGAGATATTTTGTATGTCACATTTCTCAAAGAGGATCAAGTCTCCAAAATTAGTCCATAATTATATCTAAATGTGCACAAATGTTTATTTCAAATACACTTTTAAAATGTACCATTATTAAATGCATTGTCAGAGTAATGAATCGGATTTTGAGAAGCAGTTCTTAATCATTTTTATATATTTGGCATGAGCACCATTGTTCTAGTTCATGGCTCTCATGGAGGAGCTATGTTTCAGAGATGGGTATAGGCTGTCGGGTAGGGGGTGATGTTGCTGTGCATAATCCCAGCCGAGTCATTCGTGTGCATTTTTTCAAATTTAGAAAAATGTGGACCATGACGATGGCACACAACAGCCTGCTTGTTTTGAAGTACGGCGGAGGATCTGCTACGGCTACTGTGAAGCAGACGGCGCTCGTATGTTTATGGTTACTACACAACTGCGGTAATAACCAGGGAGGGTTGCCGGAGTCGAACCAAGAACCTCTACAACAAACTGCGAACGTGCTACCGCTGGGCCGCGTCACCGCCCCACATTCCTGCTGCAAAGACTCCAGCACGGGAAAACGTACGGGACGCTCACGAACCTGGAAGGTGCACACGAGCAAGAAGAGGAGGCAGGCTGAGGAATGCTCGAAGAGGGTGAAGAGTTTGAGGACAAAGGAGCCGCCGGGCGCCAGCAGGGCTAGCGCCGTCACCGTCTCGCAGAACACCAGCGGCGCCACACACGCCTCCTGCTCCCCGGGGTTACCCTGACGGCGTCATACCGCATCGCATCACAGCACGCACCACACCGCACGCATTGCGGAGTAAACACTCCACACTCGCTACATCGCAAAACACTGAACCACACACGGGACGTACTCCATTTTCATTTCACAGCAACAAAGATCCCCCTGTTATAGTCTTAACCGACTTGGGGCAAGTGCTGTTAGCAAACACTTATGAAGGGCCGAATGGCACGCGGCAGGTGGCCAGCACCACACCCAGCCGCCTTGGTCTCCCTCGTGGTAATGTTTACACACCAGGTACTCACTGGAGACCGAGTTGACATAGGGGAGCCCCAGGATCAGTTCAGAAAATCGTCACTGGGTTTGGCCATGAGTGGGAATCGAACTCTAGTCACCGGGTTCGTAGTGCAGCAAAACTAAACAGCACGAGACTGCTTGCACTCCACAAACTCACTCGCACTTCTTCGGGAGTTCTACCCTCGTGTGCGCGTGCATTTTCTTTAGGCACTCCTACTGACATAAGAGTCTCCAGAGCAAGCGAGAATTTCACAGTGTGATGCAAGGTGCCGGAATCGAGGGGGGGGGGGAGGGGGGGTATCCTGAGTGGAACCCCGAGTGGCACCCCGAGTGGCACCCCGAGTGGCACCGCGATCAGCAGCCCGAGTGGCACGGCAGTCCCGCACGAAACCCCTGCGGACCTGGCAGTCGAAGCTCCCGTCGGCGGTGACGAGGTGCGCGCCGTGCCCCAGCTCGTCGCGCGCGCGTTCCTGCAAGCGACGCAGGTTGGCCAGGCACATGGCGTCGCCCGTGTCGTCCGCACCGAAGCACCAGCGGGCCGCCGTATGCAGAATGAGGCGCGCGTCCGGGATCATACTCTCGCAAGTGTTGCTCTCGTGGAACGGGTTCAGGGTGGTGGCCAGCCAGCACAGCTTGCAGGCGGCCTGCACCGGGGTTACACACGGTGAGAATTGGCGTCTGGTAAACACCGGTGAGGCACGGCCCAATTGCACTCGGGTTGGGGTGGACTCAGGTTGAGATGGACTCGGGTTGCGGTGGATGCGAGTGTTTTTTCCTGTGTTGGCTCAAGCATTTTCCCATGATGGGCACTTCATACAACTATGATTCTTAAAATAATTGTTAGAGACTATTACACTTTTCGTTTCATATTTTGTTAGCTTTTTTTTTCTTAGATAACAGATGGAAACATGCAATGGATTGTTAGTCATACTTGTAACACATTTTAAATATAAATTAACATTTACAAAGATAACCCTGAATTACCAGTTCTGAAATAATATTTAAATCCTATTTGAATAGGCACAATAATTGACCATGGAACCTGTCTGCTGCTCCACATCGTTTCCTTTTAGATACGTTGACCAGAAAAGGGAACACATATTTGACAGAGCCTGCTAGAGATACGCCGAAAATGTACAAACTTTAATGATGGGAAAACTGATTTTGTGCGCCTACTTCATGAAGGTGCCACTGATGATCCAGATAACTACCGGCTGATTTTGATCGTATCCCCTCCACCAATCAAAAACTTAGAAATGCTACAAAAAATACAAATTACTGACTATCCAAAAGAATTACCTGCTCCACCCCAAGCAATCAACACTTCAAGGAAAAGTTCAGCACAACCTCGACAGTGCTGGAGACTCCTGATTTTATCTTCAACAGCCTGGATTATAAACACCTTCTGTGCCATCCTCTATCTTGAACTACCTAAAGCATTTCATACCGCAGATTACATCATCTGACTGAGCCAACTTAAACCTCTCAAATTTTCCGATCCTACTTTAAAAACTGGTTCCAGAGCTACTTCTCAGACTGCGGGGAAGGGGGGCGGGGCTCTACCCCCCCTGGTCTCCTCCCTGGCTCTTCAGGGGGCCCCGGGTTACCTGGGGGGTGCCACGGTGGCCAGATGTTAAATACATCACCTGATATGCAGGTGGTCGTGGGTTCAATACCGAGTCTAACGCCTGTATATTTGTTCTCCCTGTGGTCACGTGGATTTTTCTCCGGGTCCTCCGGTCTTTCCCTCCACATTTAGAAACATGCGTTTAGGGTATTTGACTGCTATAAATTTCTACGTGATACGCCACTTTGTTGGGACTATCATTTCTGGCCAGGTCACTTTTGAAAAAAGAGCTATATAGCTCAGTCGGCCTTACCTGGTAAGATTAAAAAAAAAACGTTTAAACAAAAAAACAGTTTCACCTGGTGCGTTCGCACGTAATGGTTGAGGCTGCAGATGAATGCGCCGGGCGCCTCGCACAGGTGCACCGAATTTATCCTGCTGCCACCGCCGCGTACCAGTGCGGAGGGTGGCAGCACGGGCAGGCCTCCTGCCAGCAGCTCGTGAAACTTGCACCAGGCCTGCGTGCACAACTCCGCGCCGGCCACGCGCCGCACGTGCCCCACCACGTGCCCCGTGCGGTTAGTGGCGGCCGTGTGCTCATGCCACACATCCAGAGGCTTGTCGCTCAGACGCCCTTTGACCTCGTTCAGATCCTTCTTCAGCCGCTGCAGGTCCGCGTGGGGCTGCGCCGAACACAGGTTCGAAGAGAGGATGTGAAGCCTCATTAAAGTGAATCGAGCTGACATGAAGCAGAGTTATATTCAATACTGTAACGGGCACACTGGGATTTGTGAAAAAGCTTAACGATCACGACTTCATTTGTTTTTTTTTACATGCACCCAGGCCAGCTGTGAACTCTAAACCAATACTAACATCTATTCAAAATAATTATAACACTGATCTCAAGGATATGCTTGGTAGGCGACCGCTGTCTGTATAGGATACAGTAAGGACTCAATAAACTGCTTATCTACGACTGCACATTATGAAATGTTTCAAGTCAAAAAGATGTGCATTCAACAACAATGCCTCAGCTGTGACTCTGTCTTATCAACATTCATTTAAGAGATACATTTATTTTTTTAAAATATGAAATATATGATCCAACCAAGTGGCTCAGTGGTTAAGAATGTGCAGCTAGCCAATCAGAATCCCGTCCAAAAGCTGACCAGGCCCTTCATTCCACCTGGGTGGATAAAACGAGTACCACTTTGGGAGAAACCAACTGCGGTTGTCTGATGAAGGAACTAACCTCCACCAAAGGAATGTGGAATTTCCAATCACCGAATTGGGGATTGCACGGACGATGAGCGCCATGAGCACGAGCATGTGCTCGGGGAACACAATTTGAACGTTTTCCTCCGAAAAGCACAATTACAACGCTGTGGTGCTCACCTGTTGCGCCGCTGGAGAGGAGAAGACCGAGCGCGCTTCTGGGAGAGTCCACGTTTCACCGGGGGGCACACGGAACTCAAAACGCTTCTCGAACAGCTGAGCCACCTCATCCAGGACTGCAGCGTTAATCGGTGGTGCCTCCTCCACCCGCACTCTCTTCCTCTGCCCGCTCTTCATTGTCTCTTCACAAGGCAAAGACAACGACCCCCGTTACAGCCTTTAATACACCGTTGGGGCAAGTCCTGTGAGCGAAAAATTACGAAGGCCGTGGACGGCACACGAGGAGAGTGGGTGGTCAACACCACGGCCGACCACCTTCGTCTCCCCAGTGCTGATGTTTACATACAGCACCGGTGACTCATTTTGAGGCTGAGTCGACCTAGGGGAGGCCCAGAAATGGCTCAGATAATCGTCACTGGTGTTGTCATGAGTGGGAACCGAACTCGGGTCGCCGGGTTTGTCGTAGCACAGCGCGCAAACAGCTACGCCACCGCTCCCCACTATACAGCTACACACCAATGCGAAGATACAATTATAAGTTTGGGCATAAGTAGCTTCAAGTGTAAGTTTATTTATTTAAAAAGTGAGAACTCTTAGAGATAAGGATAATCTCATTTGCAAGAGTGACCTGGACAGTCAGTGGACAAAGGCCACTAAAGGGAAGGTGGCAATAAAGCTAATTTCTCTGCCTCCCCCCCTCTATATATAATACCTCGTCACAGAGGCGTTGTTTCTCTCTCTCTCTGCGTCTCTCTCTCTGCGTGTCTCTCTCTGTATCTCTCTCTCTGTGTATGTGTCCCTCTCTCTGCGTCTCTCTCTGTGTATGTGTCTCTCTGTGTATGTCTCTCTCTGCGTGTCTCTCTCTCTGCGTGTCTCTTTTATATGTCTCTCTCTCTCTCTCTGTGTATGCGTCTCTCTCTGTGTTTGTCTCTCTGTGTATGTCACTCTCTGTGTATGTGTCTCTCTCTGTGTATGTGTCTCTCTCTGCGTGTCTCTCTGTGTATGTGTCTCTCTGTGTATGTGTCTCTCTGTGTATGTCTCTCTCTGCGTGTCTCTCTGCGTGTCTCTTTTGTATGTCTCTCTCTCTGTGTATGCGTCTCTCTCTGTGTTTGTCTCTCTGTGTATGCGTCTCTCGCTGTGTATGTGTCTCTCTCCGTGTCTGTTTGTCTCTCTCCGAGCTTGCATTCGCACCTGATGACGGTTGCTTTGTGTTGCAATCGAAACGTCGTGTATTCTATTATTTATTTTATTTCTACGTGACTTTACCGAAAGAACCAGAGAGAAGGTGGCAATGTTGGGTGGTTGTCCAGGGCGCATGTGGCAGGACTTCTGGTCGAGATACGAGACGCCTAGGAGCCCCCCCCCCCCACAATGTCTCCACTTCACCCGGGAGCCATAAACAACAACCCCCTTCCACTGCATGCGAACCGGACCCAGAACATCCCCATGCACAAGACGGGGGGGGGAGATAAACACGGGTGGTCGACACAGCGGGACTCACAGGCTCGCTTGCTGCACTACCACCTGCGCAGCCACACTGGAGAGACCAGCCCGGCCCCCCCCCCCCCCACTCTGGATAGAGGATCCCGGGCCCCCCACTCTGGATAGAGGATCCCGGGCCCCCCACTCTGGATAGAGGATCCCGGGCCCCCCCACTTTGGATAGAGGATCCCGGGCCCCCCACTTTGGATAGAGGATCCCGGGCCCCCCACTCTGGATAGATGATCCCGGGCCCCCCACTCTGGATAGAGGATCCAGGGCCCCCCACTCTGCACAGAGGATCTCGCCTCCCCCCCCACCCACCCAACTCTTGACGAACAACCGCCGGAACGCGCGGCTCAAGTGAGGGCACGGCGCTTACACACGGCCGTGAAGCTCGCAGCCCGCGTCGCCTCGGCCGTCGTCTCGCCTCGTCCGCGCCCAGGAGGAGAAGGAAGGAGAAGAAGCAGCAGCAGAAGAAGAAGAATCGACCCCCCACGATCTCTGCGATCCCCCAGGGATCCCCGCTCCGTCTCCACACGGCGACGTGATCTTCGGCTCCCACCCCCACCCCCCCCCACTTGTGCGCATGCGCACTCCCGCCACCGCTGCTAGGCTACGGTGGCGCGGATGCTCGCGCCGGCGCGGTCCATTTACCAAACGCTCTCGGCTTGCGCGGACTGACACGCGCGGCGTTGCCTAGCGACCGCTCCTCATCCTCCTCCTCCTCCACCGTCGCTCACCCCAAGCCCGCAGTGAAAGGCCGCCAGACCGCGACTTGCCCCTCACCGTTGACCGCTTTGCTGTGCGGCGGCGGGTGCAGGAGAGACGCGCAAGGGGCGCCGCGAGTGGAAGGAGACGGAGTGAGAATTTGGCGGTGATTGGTGGTGGGAGTGAGGAGGATTGGAGATTTGAAGATGAACATCGGGCACCAACAGTCAGTTACCCACGCGCACATTACACACATGCCGAGCTCCTCAGTATATATATTAAAAAAATACAATTGATAACGTTTGATATAGAGTACTGTACATATATTAACGTCAGGCGCATTATAATGTTTTACTTATGAGGCGCCTTTGACAAGAGCGCTCCGGTTGGTTGCGCAACGCGGTTAATATCGGCGTGAATCGCTTTCAGATCTCGCGACCCCCTTGAAAGTCACGCCAGCGTCTTTACTTTCAATTAGCGGAGCTTTGAAGCCTCCCTCGGGCGACGTTCCCGCTCGCTGAGAGCCCATCGCGAAACGATTACAGGATCGGAATAATTGCACCGTGTGGTCGGGATGTATTTCGCCTGGAGGATGAGGAGGAGGAATAATCCGATGAGCTTTGCGCACGGATGTCCAGTAGGGGGCCACGGGGTCAGCTAGTGGACAACAACAAACAGCATTTTTTTTAATCGCATTGGAAAATAGAGAGACGGGTTAGCAAGGAGCTAAAAATATATTTTAAATGTATATAATATATTTTAAATGTATATAATAACAAATTGCCGAAGTTTTCAACACTCAATGCAACCTTGAACGGGAAGTACATATTGTGTCTGCGGTGAATGCTGGACTTCTTCCCCTAATTTGTGTTTTTGCTCTTATTGCTCAGATTTTTGTTTGGTTGTTTTTTTCTCTCTCAGATTTATATTTGCTTCATTGTGGTGCCGAGTTTTAATTGCGTTGCTTTTGTCATATTGGTGGGCCAGGTCGCTCTCGCAAATTATAAATGATACAATTCGCAAAACTGCTCATTATATAAACATGGCCAAGACCTAAGCGACACTTAGACATCTGTGAAAAAGAGCTTCATAGCTCATCGGATCCCTCCAATATAAATACAGATTCTAATTCTCTGGCTTTCATAGCCCAGTGAAAAGGGGTTTGAGTAAAATTATTATTAAAGTCGATCGCACGGATATATAATTTCTATCATCATGCGCCATATTGCAATATAGTTCATCTCGTGTCTCATTGTGTTCGTCAAAGTCCATGTTGTCTAGACCGCGGGTCGGCAAGCAACCAACATAACACAGTCATGTTTTTGGAATCCATGTGAATAACGTCGCGAAGCAGTCATTAAAGAGCCACCACATGGTCCCAACTCCTGGTCTAGGCCATTCGTCATAGCAGATTATACTCACAGATTTAAAACTTCCCTCTTGAGACACATTGCTATTTTACTCTGCTTCTTTATAGAGGTCAGCTTTCCAAAACCACCCCCACCTGGCCTCTTCTTTAATTGAATTACTGTATAGTGATCCTGAAGATGCCTTCAACAGCCCTGAGATGAAACTACGTGGCTGTGTACGGTACCGACTGTTTTTTTAAAGATCAGTGCTCCACTCGATATCGTCGTTAACGCTCAATAAGTGTTAACCACATATATATTTACGATGACATGTGTACAGTACACTAATAACACACGAACATTCACAGCTTGTTTTACAGTTTAATTCGAGATACCATGAGAATGAAGCAGAGGAGGCTGGGGTTGGCTGGATTTGGAATGTTGTATACAAACTCAGTTTGCACCGTAATGGAGCAATCTGGCCATGAAAATCAATAAACAAGACCACATCTCACCACTGTAAACGCTTTGTTTCACAGACGTAATCTGCAGTAGTTTTATAGCAGGGGGCGATGTTGCTATGTGTAATCCCGATTGAGTAATTTTCAGGTAATTATTTTTCGAATTTGTAAGCTGTGGATCATGTAATAGTTTCTAAACTAAGCTTATTTTTTTATTTTACCAGGTAAGGCCCACTTAGCTATATAGCTTTTTTTCAGACGTGACCTGGCCACAAATTATAGCTCAACGAAGTGGCCTATCACGTGTAAAAGTATAGCAACCAAAACAACTCTAGAGGCATGTTTCTAAATTATGTCCGGGATTTTTGGTTTGTTTACTTCAACTGTGCAGCAAGACGGCCGCTGGTATTGTACGTTTAATACACCCGAAACAATCACCAGGGTAGCCTGCCAGAATTCGAATCGCGAACCTCTGCAACGAGTGTGCAAACGCGCGCTCCTGCTGCGCTACGTCACCGTCCGATGAGACCGTGGGAAACGGGCGCGCGTTGCCATTCCTTCACAGGGATCGATGTGTCGTGGGTGGTCACTGGGCTGCGTGTGACACGTTAGAGGCAAGCCTGTTTGTTGTTCGTGCACGTTAGTGCATGTGTGCATTTCACTTATTTCGCAGCCAACCGTGCTCGTCGGACGTGCGATCGGAGTGCAGAGTACAATGACACAAACAAAAGTGTTTTTCTTGCGTGTTAAAGTTTGTCACGTGTTTTATTACACTACGTAACACAATTCTTGTTCCTGGGTAGTAAGTGTTATTTCGTCATTGTTTTTGCCTTAAAAAGTATATATACAATAAAAGTATATAAAGTATATAAGATGGCTCACTTTTGGCGTCATCTGGTCCAACACCAGTGTAGATTAGGCTCTAAGAAAAGCCGTCTCGGGTGTGGACCAATCAATTTCAAGGACAGTGCATATCATTATCAGAGTTGTCTCTTTTTGTTTGCATTTTGACTGCTTGTGTTGTGGTTATTGCAAACATGATCCCTTGTATAAAGGTGTCAGTTTTGGTGCCAGATAAAAGGGTAAAACCCTATTACTATAAGATGGCTATTATTCCCCACAAACTTTGCTTTTGTGACCAGGACAGTGATATTTTGAAATTTTTCCTATTTTGAATGAGAAAATGGGCGAATTTGTGTATTTTCGTTCACATAAAGTCAGAAAACAACATATGAATCAAAATGAACATGTATTTAGACTAAAGTAATACAAAAATGACTACAAAAGATTTAGAAGCGAGTAGTTTTTCGAGATTTACCATTATACTGTAAATCACTTTCACGAATCAGCCCCCAAATGTACTCCCATCATGTTATCGTTATACTATCCTTGGTAGCGGCGTTCAAAGTCAAGTATATCCTGGTGGAAGCGCTCGCCTTGCTCCTCCGAGTACGCTCCCATGTTCTCCTTGAATTTATCAAGATGAGCATCAAGGATATGGACTTTGAGGGACATCCTACAGCCCATTGTGCCATAGTTCTTCACCAGTCTCAACCAGCTCCATATAGTTTTCGACCTTGTGATTGCCCAGGAAGCCACGAACCACTGCGACAAAGCTGTCCCAAGCCGCTTTCTCCTTACTAGTGAACTTCTTGGGGAATTCATTGCACTCCAGGATCTTCTTTATCTGTGGTCCGATGAAGACACCAGATTTGACCTCTGCCTCAGACAGCTTAGGGAAGAAGTCTTGAAGGTACTTGAAGGCTGCTGACTCCTTATCTACAGCTCTGACAAATTGTTTCATAAGGCCCAATTTGATGTGCAGTGGTGGCATCAGCACCTTCCGGGGTTCCACCAGTGGCTCCCGCTTGACGTTGTTCCTCCCCACAGAGAACTCGGTTTGCTGTGGCCAGTCCTGCCTGTGGTAGTGCGCCTTGGTGTCCCTGCTGTCCCAAAGGCAAAGATAGCAGGGAAACTTGGTAAAACTGCCTTGGAGACCCATCAGGAATGCCACCATTTTGAAGTCTCCGATGACCTCCCAGCCGTACTCATCATACTTCAAGGTGTCCAGCAAGGTCTTGATGCTGTTGTAATCCTCTTTGAGGTGCACCGAGTGAGCCAGGGGAAGAGACGGGTACTTGTTACCATTATGGAGCAGCACGGCTTTGAGGCTCCTGGATGAGTTTACAATGAGGAGGCACCACTCATTCTGGTTACAGGTGATTCCGACTGCCTCGAACAGACTGGTCACATTGTGGCAGAAGCAGAGCCCATCTTTACAGGTGAAGAAGCTGCAAAAAGGTTGATGACGCTTCCTCTGATCTGCGACTTGCAGACTTTCATCCAACAAGTTACACTGCTTGAGCCTAGACGTCAAAGCTCGGCATTGAACTTGCTGAGACCAAGATCTCTGATCAAGTCGTTGAGGTCTTTTTGGTTAGGGTAGTATGGGTTTCTCTCCTCAGCTCCACCTCTGAAATTGTCATCTGGATCTACGTCTTCCTCGCTCTCTGACTTGCTGCTCTCTCTAAAAACGGCCGCTGTCTCTCCGGAGTGTGTACGGGGAGCTCATGGCAGTGTGGCACCGGGGCGATGAAGGAAGGTCCGGATACGTGATAACAGGTGCATTCTTGCCAGTCCGACGTTTGGAAGGATCCACAATGCAGAAGCAGCAGTTGCTTGAGTGGTCAGTGGATTCCCACCAAATTCTTGAGATAGCGAACTTCATGGCTCTCTTTTCCCCTCTGTATAATCCTACAAAAAAAATTTTTATTTCACCCATGACTAATGTGTAAGAGATTCTCGCAACGTTTTTCACATATGATAGATTTTTTTCAATAACATTGAAAATTGTAAAACATTTTAAAATTAAAATCTTTTACAATTTAAACATTTTAAACAAATTTTATAACATACAGTTCCAAGCAACAGTTGTCCATCTTACCTTCCAGAGTTTTGTTGCATTGCTCGCAGTTGAAATGAGGTGCCCAGGGTTTGTCGGCCTCACGCATCTTAGCGGATGCTTCCACAGAGTACTTTTTCGCTCGTGTCTTGATAAATTGGCCGCTGACATAGCATAATGCGTCTTCCGGATGCTTGCGGCCTCTTGATGCCATCTCAGAATAATGCAGATATGTATCCACATAGGCAGCTGGAACTAAACTGAACTGGTGAGCTTAAGGCCCCTGTATTTATACTACTACTAGCGGGAAGTACCCGACACACACATCGACTTACAGACACTTACAGACATCGACCCACACACACAAACACAGCGACTTACACACATACACACATATGGACTTACAGACATCAACTTTAGCTACACACACATGGAGTTACACACACATATCGACGTACACGCTTACAGCATCTCACACACATACATAGACAACCACACACATCGACCTAAACAC